TCATTTTAGATAATAATCATGTATCTGATTAAGTAATCCGCAAAACCACTTAAAAGAACTGATTTTATTCTTTATCCTTGTTTTTCACTGACAGCTATGAGTTTGTGGTACGCTTAGCAGTAAGCTCCAGTCTCTTCTGAATGTGAAAAGAATGCTAGTTCAATTGTGACTGTCAAGGAAGAAGATAGTTTTCCCTTCGGAAAAGATTTAAAAAAAAAAAAAAAAAAACTTTTACACAATATAAACCTGCCCTCGTTGCCCTCAAAATTGAAAACTAAATTTTTAAAACATCCTTAGTAATGGTGTTGTTGCACTCTAACATTTATCTTGAAATATTGGATCTTATTTTTTATAGCATATGATAGTAACCTTATTTATCTCCTTGCTGCATCTTTTAATTAGCTAATGGCATTTGAGTACTCATGTTGGCAGTACAAAAGTATGGTTTTTATTGGTAACCTACAACATTTGTACAATTGTGAGTTCAATTCCGTTATCAGAGCTTCCCTGGGTGTTAATAATAACATATTACCATATCGGCTGGCATGGAGCAGTTATAGGGACAAGGCACTCTTCTAAATAGTTTGTATTCATCCATTCAATGTTCACAACAACCCATAGTGATTAATTGTAATATCCTGTGTTGTTGTTTTTTACTAGTTTCTGAAGGCCTGGAATCTGTTACATTTAGCGCTGAGTCATCTGAGGAAGCTATCAGTAAAAGTTTTTTCCAATTGCAAGTCAGGTCTATGTGCTTTCTCCATCTCATTGTGGAAGTCCTCTTTAAATGCCTTCGTGCTTTGTGATGTTTAAAGCTCCTCATGTCTTGTCTGTGCTCATCCAGTGAATCTTGAAAGTCAACATCACATAGAGAACATTGTGCTCGTGTCTGCTCTACTGCGATGCAAGTTTCACAATTTCCTTATTTAGTTCTCTTTGTCTGAATGCAATTTTTACATTTTTATGTTCTGACCACTCTTTCAATATAAATATGCACATGCTATTTTTCATTTTAATATCATTTGTAGTATTCATCTTCATGCTTTCCAAGGACTCATTCCATGTCTTTTTTTCGCTAGAATTCTTTTTTTTTTTTTTTAATGTAAGGAAGTGAAACAAGCTGCTTTGCTCCAGGTAGAAATTGCTGTAATAATTAGTGTGTGTGTGTGTTTTGTGTGTGTGTGTGTGTGTGCGTATGTTCCCACATTGCCTTTATTTCCTGCTTTCATTCTGCCATCTTAAATTGTAGTCATCTTCAGAAGCCACCTCAATGTTATTCTCCCAAATGTACCTCGTAATCTTTGTTTTCACATTAAACAATATTCCATCGCAGAGTGCTATGGGCTGCCTACCACTAACCGGACATTCCCTGTTTCCTCCCTAGCATCAGCCGAGACACATTATGTATATCCCACTTCCAAAGCGCCACTCAGGCCAGAGGAGCCACAGACTGAAGGTGGTAAAGGTTTTCATGCTTTGATTCATTTAATTCCGCAAAATGTAGTTAGTGTATATGATGTCCATGGAACATGGAAGTTCAAGCTGCTGTACTTGTTCTTCAGTTGAATAGATTTGAAGAGCTTTCAAACTTCTTGGATTCTTAACATGATAATTGGCTCTCTGAACACAGAAATAGATTTCAGTTTCTCTGTAGTATCTAAATATTGGGGCATAATAACAATTGACAACCACTTAATAACAGTTAAAACATAAATATTAGTTGGAGGATTTGTTTTATAGAATTTCCATTCTTGGTTCTGTTTTTTCTTGTCTAAATTCATTGTCCTATCTGTAAAAATATGTTGCAAGATCTTAAGAGAATGAAGTGTTTTGATATTGAAGAAAAGTAGTTCACTAACGCTGAACGTCTGACAATTTTTAAAATTGTTCTCCTTTTTTTTGATACAGTTGTGGAATCTATTACAAATGTGTCTGAACCACCTGAGACCACATTAGGTAATGACATACCTAAGCAGCTTTTGTCCTCATTGCCACCATCATCTGAGAACCTCAGGTTCTCTCTCATTGTGAATTCATGTTGCAACATCATTTCTTGGTTCTTCTATTTATAACCATTGTCCAAAAAGTCTCTTTGTTCATTCAGTTTTATATCAAGACCTGGTCTCTTTATCTTCTTAAGTCAGTGAAACTATCAAATCTAAAGCATCTTTCTCCTAACATTGCATATTCTGCCAGCTTGATGTTGTGTTGAATATGTCAGATAATATATTTTGTATAATGATCCGTTCATACTTTCTACTCTGGCAACACATTTCCCATTAACACTCATTCCATCATGTTCATTTGCATGTTTGGTGTTTTTTTCCATTATTTAAGTGAAAGTCAATGCTTCTTGAATTGGCTTAGCTTTACTTTTTTTATTACTTTGTTTTTTTTCCTTTACAGTTACTACTGAATATATCTTTCTAGCACTGTTGAGGAGGTACGAAGGTGAAGGGAAAATTTAAAAAATAAGGACATTACCTACTTTGAAATTATTTTTATAACCTGTCATCTCTATACATTAAAAAAAAAAAAAACTAAGGCATTAGGAAGAAAGAGGAATGCTATTTTTGTTGCCGAGTTTTCTTTTTAAAAAAAAGTCCACTTGTTACCGTCTGTCTGTTATCTGTACTCAAGGTGTGTGAAGCACCATGGTAACCTCTGTTATTCTCCTTTAATGAGCATAGAAGCATCAACTCTGCCTTCCCAAACTGAAATCCTACTCAGCCCAAATGAGCCTCAGACTGGACTGGGTAAATACATCATTTTGTACTTTCATGTATAATAGAAGGTGAGCATTTGCAGAATATAAGAATAGAAAGACAATAAGGGCACTGCTTGACGTTGGAAGCCCCACCTTAGTCACTCAGCTCATAGTTGTCACTGCCCCTCTTCTCTTCTATCCATCACCTGTAGGCGTCACATGTTGTGAGTAGTCTTTAGGATATGCCTGAAAAACACCTCTCAGCTGCTGTGCAAGTGTTTAACATGGGGAATTATTCCATTTTACATATAAATAGATATCCTAATTTTAAGTACTTGATAATCTTGACTAGTTTTATAAGTTCTTTGGCCATGTATTAACAGAAACAAGTTTCACTGTGCAACCCAGATGAAAGGTACTACTGGTCTGTCACCTTGTCATTATCTGGTTCTTTACTTCTTTCCACTCCTTCCTGCAGTGGCTTGGCCATTGCACTGCATTCAAGTAAGAGAAAGTGCAATCAAACCAGTGACTTTAATGGTGGAGTTGGAAATTTAGGAAAACTAGTCATGAACATGGATAACTAAATATGCTTCTGATTATAAGGAAAATCCCTTTCAATATTTATAGATTCTCTTGGAATAGGAATTTATTACAAATAAGTCCAAATTTGTGTTTTGATTGCCATGGACTTTTTATATGGCTCTATTTCCAAAGAGGGAGCTATTTATTTAACTCATTGTTCATGGAAACATCCTATTAAATATTGCCTGTTGACCTCTACAGTTTATTACCAAAATTCTGCATTGACTACGTGAACTGAATCTGTATCAGTTATCTCAAGATTTTTTATGTTTATTGTTTTCAATAGCTGTGATAATGTTACTGAAATGTTTAAATGTGAATTCTATTGGTGATTCTTACCTCTTTCGGAATCATTCTTGTGGCATTGCCTCATGATATGCCTTTACCTGCAAACTGTTTTTCCTATTCCCTGGAAGAAGCAGATAGCCTGTCAGGAACCTCAGCAAGTAAGGAAGTGGGGAGTCAGGAAATCATAAAGCTGAAAGAAACTCTAGAATCAGAGAATGTTAGAACTGGAAGGGCTCTTTAAAAATTCTGTACCTGCCCATGCATATTAGCATAACCAATGAACACAGATACTGGGGCGGTGGGACAATTGGGGGGAAAGGAGACTTTGTAAAACTTTAGACAATAAAATAATAAATAATACATACATACATACATACATACATACATAAATAATAAATATTCTGTACTTTTTGATGGAATGCCTGTCGCTGTCACCCAGTGATGAGCAAAGGGAGCTCTGATGCTCCAGGTTGCAGGCTCCTAAACCAATGTAACCTCCAACATACCCTGGTGTTTATCTCCCTACAGGCAAGAAGATTCCTCTGAAACCATGGCATGCCTTGCATATTTTGACTTAGTATCCTGAGAAAGTCTCTGCAGACTCCAGAAACACCTTCTAGTATCTAATAGTTCTTATTTTCAGCAATCTTTTTGTAAGGCACCTGGAACTCCCTGACCTTGAAAACATTTTGTTTATTCTTACCCTTCTTATACCAGATACACTTTAGTCCAACTAACTGAGATATTTCCACAAATTGCAATGCTTTTCATTTTCTTGGTGAAGAAATAATTGGTTTTTATACCGAGTGTCCTAGAATTCCTTTGGGAATAGCCCAGCAAAGGAATACCTTTCTTCAGTAATCTTTTGTTTTTATTTCTGTTCAATTTTTCTTCCTAGTATGACCAATAAAAATTATTGTCTTTAATAAGATTAATTTTCCCATCAGCACTTGCTACTGAAATACATTCGTTTTTTCTAGGTATATTTGGAATATGACATGCTTACTTTTTTTATTTTTTTTTAGAAGAAATTGTATCTATTTGCACTCAAAATATGTATTGTACTGGGATAATCTGATAAGATGGTATAAACTTGTTAAGAATGAATACTTGTTATTATAAAATTTATTTTAATCTGTTTGAAAGATACTTAAAATAGATGTTTCTAGGATTCTAACAGTTTCATTTGCCAGCTGAACACCTTGGATATCATTTAATGTTCCTTCTTGTTTCGTTTTCTGTTATAACAAGAAATTATCTTCCTATACTTCGCAGCTGTTTGGAAGATTTAATTGCTTGAATTGCTGTGTATCTACCTCATCAGTCACTCGACAAACACCTCTGAGAACCTAGAGGCTGTTAAATAACTGTGATTCTTGCAAGAGCTCAAGAGCTCCAAGCCTTATGTCCTTTCTTTTAGCTCCCAAGCAGACAGCGCGCACTCCTCCCAAAGCAAGACCATCTTCACATCCAAGAGTCCCTCAGACACAGCCAGGTAAATACACTTTTTACATTCTATGAAAATGAGAAGTTAGATGTTGTGAAGTTGTTCTGCTGAATTATCGTGAGTTGGGTTTTTTAACCCTTGTAAAACAAGTCTTCCATTGAAACCTGATAAATATTTACATTTTCTTTTATACTGAAAAGTATATTATTGGAATAAGTTATTCCAGAAAGCTCCTCTAGTATTATATTATTTTGAGTGGGGGATGAAGAAGAATGGAATTTCTTAAGTGTAACCTGTCTACTCTCTCTCTCTGCCTTTTCCAGCTTGAGAATCCCTAAGGCTTCCATGGTCCTTGAATGGGCCTCCTCTTGCCAATCACCTAATTTTTTAAAAGTTTTTAGTAGATTTTATTCAGCATTAATGTCATAAAGAATAAACATATATGTCCTCTCCTATAACATAACAATTATATTATATTGCTTTAGTTGTTTTGCTGTAAAATTTTGATAAGGACCCAAATAAGATTCATTATAAACAATTTTTTATTCTGTTCAAGAAACTCTCATTCGATTGTTTAACTCTAACCTTAACTTCTCAACCAACTCTTCTCTAATTTTTCCAACTACCTCAGCCAATCTCAATGATGGAATACCATAAACTTGACATGCCTCAAAGAAAGCTTATTGTTTTTCCGCCTTTCAATTACATCTGTGATAGGTTCTCAGCACTTTATATCTGATTCTTACCTCTCTTTCTCATCCAGCCTCTGTAGCTCATCTGTATGGAACATTTTAGCATCGGTGCCTGCTCCATGCATCTACCCAGTCATGCCTAGGCTATTGTCATCGATCAACTGATCTCCTGTGTCTCTTCTCTCCTAATTTCAAACATGTCACCCCTTCATGCTGAAGTGATTGTTTAATTCATTTAATCAGTCATTCAACAAATATTTATTGCATTCTGACCATGTGCCAGGCAATGCACTAAACACTAAGAATGTGAACAAAATTGAATCCTTCTGTGGTCAAGGAAGTTACAGTCTAGGCCAGTCACCTAAATTTAAATTTATCACTTATACATGGTCTGCTTCCAAAAATGAGAAAGGAAAACATTAGCAGGAAGCAGTTCTGAATTCTCATCACAAATTCTTTAATCATAGCTCATAGTATCCCTATTGAAAGAAAAAAATTATATATTTGGGCATGGTTTTTAATATCTAATTCTGAGAGAAATTTTACCTGTTATTTTTTTTTTCTTTAAAATGAAATTCCTTAAAAGTAGATTCTATGTTCACATCCAGCTCATTTAAATCTACTTTAATGTACTTTAAAATGTGTATTATTTAACTACTAAGACTTAGATATAAAAATAATATGGGTATGATACATAAGTATATGAGGGTAATAAGACAACAATCTCCTGATAGAGTGAGAAACTTAAAATAATAACAATAAATACATGTGTAACATTAATATATAAGAATACTAGGAGAAAGAATTAATGATGAATGAATAGAATATGAATTTAAATAGTAGGTCAACTTTATGGATAGGAAACTAAAATCTAACTTTAAAAATAAATTGGTTCAAATCACATGAGGATTCTCTCAACTTTTTATTTGAATATAAAACATAGAACAAAAGTAGCAGAGAAAGGGAAAATGGAAATAAATAAGAAAGCATGAAAGTTTAATGAATGTTGAAAAATAAGAGTAGAGATGAAAAATAAGTGCTTGGAGTTAAGACATTGGGAATATAAATTCTTGGTTAGTAAAATTTTTTTTAAAAAAATAAAGTAGATATGAATTAACAAGGAAGACATTCATAATTTTCTTTTTAAGCTGTACTCTACAGATAGAAATATGGAATAATAAATTAGCAGCTTACTCTAAATTTCCATTATTATACTATATTCAACGTTTCAAATTTGTTTGATTTAGACCGTTAGCCAAGCTTCCTCCACAAGATATGCAGCTTCAGAACGTTTGATAGGTTCATAAGCTCAACGCATTACACTCTCTAAATCTGAAACCCTTGAGTGGCTGCCAAACAAGCAAGAGAGCCTCCTGACTCTGTCCCAACTCAGGAAACTAACTCCCAATCCATCAGCATCTCCCATAGAAGATAGCTGCAATCAAATATGCCTGGCTTTGTTGGTGATACTTAATGCAATGGAACAATTTGTAAAATTGATCAGGAAAAACAAAATACATTCTAATTACTCCTCTTAAAAGTGGATGAAATTGGGATCTCTCTTGCCCAAGAGAACATGATCTTACCTGGTAGATCCCAGCAATATCCTGGGTTTTATACTCTTCCAAGAATGCTTACATATGTATTCATATGTATTACTAAATGTTTCAAAGACAGATATTAAAATTCTAGTTTTCCCCCTCTAACCCTCGGCTAGCTCTTTATGAACTTCAAAAGGCTTTGAGGTGAGAGAATGTCCTGCTCACAGGTATAATACCAAGTGCAAATTACTATTATTGGGCTGTAAGGGTAGCATCTGACAATAGTGTATACACAATGTGTTCACCCACCCCCTTTTTTAGGATGAAATTCTTTAACTGGAGATGCCATCTTTCTTCTTATTTATACTTGAGTTATGTTTCTAAATTAGATGGCAAATTTGAAATCTAAATTTGCCATTGAAGGCAAAGTGGGATAAAAATTTTGGAAAAAATCATGAAGAATATTTTGTCATTAAATAAAGATTTGATTTTTGAGTTTCTACATTCATAGGTAATACTTAACAATCCCATTATTAATTGTATACCTAGAAATCTTATAATCATCCAAGCTATAGGTGTTCCTAGTTTTTGTAGGAGCAAAGTGAAAATTAGAATGTTCTCAGATACTTCAATGTCAACTTTGTAAAGATTTTTCTAGAAATAGAAAAAAATATATAGTAGTAGAGTTTCCACATCATTCTGACATTTAATTCTCACAGTCACCCTTGGGTTAGCACAAGTTTATCATTTCCTCATAAAAATGAGAAACAAGTTAAGATGTGACATGCAGAACTTGGATATAGAGAATCCAAGTGTTTGGACCTAGTGATAATGTCTGGACCTCCGCTTCAGCTCAAGTCTTTTCTCTGGAACTTAATAACTATGTAACCTCAGGCAGATAGTCGCCAACACAAATCTTTAAAGTGAAGCTAATAACTCCTTCCTCCCAGCATTTTGGTAAGAACCAAAGGGTATAATCTTCATGAAAGCATTTTTGAAATTGTAAAATGCACTATAAATAAATTAGTTTTTCCCCCCCTGGTATCTATTACATTAGCACCTGTTACAAAGGAAGAGTTGTACAAAGACAATTTTAGTTTGCAAACATGTTCATTTAAAGGTTTATTTGGGACTGAAGAATTGCAGGAAGAGTAGAGTGCCAGCCCACCCACTCTATCCCTTCCATACTCACTTCCCTTTCTGCTGTGGCCTGATTTGACTTTAAGCTCTCTTTTTCTTATTCATGCCTCATGGGCTTCTACTCTGACTCATTGAATTCATCTTCAAAGAAGACATAGGGTATGTGTATGTTGTGGGGGAGAAGTGAGAAGTCAAGCAAGCATCTAGAAAAGAATATCCCTTCATTAATGTGGTAATCTCTTCTGAAATGAAGATTTTTTTAAATGTTCTTCATCCTACTCTTATACTTAGTCAAATATTTCTTAGATTTTATTTTTCTACAAGTATCTGAAATCTAACTGATCTATTTTTAGAGCTTAATGTTTATTTTTCTACCTACCATATTCCATTTTTTTTTATTGTTGGGCTTATAATTTGTCAAATCTTATTTGTTAAGCATGACCGGGAGATGCTGACAGAACCCATGATCTGAGTTCTCTCTTTCAGCTCCTAAGGTGTTCCAGCATGTTACTTCAAAGCCAAAAATGTCACCAAGGCCAGAAGTGCCATATACTCCACCTGGTAAATGTTTTATTTCATATTTGAGCCAAATGCATTATATTGTCACATTCTGCTGCAATGAGACATAAGAGCGGATAGATCCAGGGGTGAGGCAGGGAAGGTGGTCAGCAATGCCAGTGAGGGGTTAGAAGAGCTGCTGGACTTGATAGTTTAGGTGCACAAACCTGTATCTGAAAACCATGGGCTGATGCTTTGAAATTCAGCAGTTTTCTGGTCACAAGCATATTAATGTTTCTGCCGTGAGAAGTATGGAGAGTCATATACACAAGACACATAAAAACTGTAAATAGGCCAGTTCTAGTAAGGTTTTGCTGTGAATGAGTTTGGTTGGCTTTTTGTTTTTAATTTTTAGTTTCAGAGCCTCTTGAACATCAAAACTATGGGTGAGGAATCACGCGTGGGTCCGTGGTTGTAGAAGGCCAGTGCAGTGGAAGCCAACCACAGTGGGTGGAGGAGATGTCACTGAGAGACCAGGAGGCAGAGTCAGATAGAGGGTTTTGATGCGAGGAATGAGAGCAGGGTGGTATGACAAAGAAGCCATGTCAGAGGATGACTTTCTTAAAGAGAGTGAGGCATTTGCTCTGTTTTACAGGTAGAGGGGAAGAAATTAATGGACAAATGGAAATATCGACTAATGGAGAAAAATATAAAATAATAGAAATAATGGGAAGTAAAAGGTCCCGGAGATTTGGGACAAGACCCCAGGTTGAGCTTGGAAAGTGGCTTCCACAATGACAGGAAGCTTGCTTCCTCTTAGACTGGCCCTCAGGGAACACGGTTAGAAAAAAGGGACAGCGTGCTGAGGTGCAGGAGTGTGCAGCCTACACGTATTCCTTTGCTGTAGGATCAGTCTCTTTGTAGCCTGCTGCAGGGTAAACCTTACTGCAGATTTCATATTTCACCATCTTGATCAGGGAATAACGTATTGTTTCTCTCACCTGGCATAACATCCATGCACATTCATTTTCATTTGCCCCTATCAGACACATTACTCATAACTGTCTTGTGTTCATTGAACTTTTCTTGGGAGTGGTGCCCTTTATTCAAAAAGATAGTTCATTTCATTGATTGGTTCATTAATATACATGGTAAGTTGGTTAATATAATTGTCTAAAATAGGATAATGGTAAAAATTCTTATAAGGAAATTAAAAGTCTCCTCTCAAAAAAATTGTCATAATTTACATTGTTTCCCCCAGCATGGAAGATTTAGATTTTAGGAATCATGCTCTTATTGAATGTAATACACAGAGGCATGCCACATAGGGAAAAAGAAAAAAAAAAACAACTTGCATTTCTTGAAGCTGCAATTGACCAAGCAAGAGAATGATTCATCACCCTTTCCCACAAATATTTCTATTTTCTTTTTTCTTTCCACTGATTTTAGCTGCTATAGAAATCCTGCTATGGCAGTTTATTAAATCATCACTTCATGGTTACAAAGTGCCAGTTGCAGCAGCAGGAATCCACATTACCCCAGCCTGAATTCCCCAGTCAGCTGAGGCAGGCAGCGAGGAGTGCATTTACAGTATGGTGGATTTATTGGTTGCACGTGTCTTCTGGGTCTTCTTTCCTTAATCCCAGCTCCCTCTGCATAGTCCAGTACTGCAACCAATGAGGTTATTTATAAACTACTGGCACTTGGTATAGTCACGGCCTTTACAGACCCAAATCAAAGTGCCGCCTTCTTCACCTTCCAGATAAACATTTAGTTTGATTTACAACAGGAAATTCCTCATATTTTACCACTTGAATTCCCCAAAATTCTACATAGCAAAGGTGAAACATTCCCTGTAATGATGGGTTTTCTCTAACTTTGACAACCATGGATCTTTTTGAATTTGTCTTTTTCCTTAAAAAAAAAAAAAAAAAAAAATCCCGATTTTTTAATTCCCCTGGATGTTATTGAAATTCTATAGTTAGTTTTTAGAAATTCTAATTGAGTCAAGTTTCATAATAATGTACCAAATTCCACAACTGTAATTTCAGTGATAGTTAGCAGCCTACACTAAGAACAAAAGTGATGTGTGCCTTAAATATGATTCCCCAAAAGCAATAAAAAATGAATGTCCATTTTATAAAACCTATTTTTATACAAATGGTAAAGTGGTGCTTGGCCACCTGATACAAAAGTGTTGGGTTTTTTGTTGTTTGTTTGTTTGTTTTCATTTTTCTCTGAGGCAGAACTGAATTCTAATTATTTTTCCCCAGCATCGTATAAGATGCAAGAAAATTACGCTACCTACAAAGGGACTCTGTTATTTATGAAATCTTCAGAGTGGCAGGAAAACCTTTCATTGAGGGAGCGAGGCTGAGAAGGACCTTCTTGTGGGGAAACTGAGTCAAAGAAGCACACTATCTTGCTCTTGGAAGAAGACTTTGCCATAGAAATCTGATTCTAGCAATAGGCAAGTCCTCCTGACATTTGCCCCACTGAAGAGCAAGGTATCAAATTCTCAGTCTACTGTTTTATTTTGTTAAAATAGAACAGGACAAAGGTATTAAAAATATACTTGATATCAGGGACTGAATATAAATAGGTTTATTGTAAAGCTGACATTTTTGTTCTTCATTTTCATATTCTCACTAGAGGCCTGATGCACGAAATTAGTGCAAGAATAGGCCTTCCTTCCTCCAACTGCCGGCACCCGCTTCCCTCTGGCACTGGGACCCAGGCTTCCCTCGAAGCCCCGGCTTCCTCTGGAAGGTTGTTCGAAAGGATGTCTGGTCTAATTAGCATATTATGCTTTTATTATTATAGATATGACAGGAGGCCCTGATACCTAATATACTAAAAGCCACATCACTAATACGAAAAGTGGCAACACTTATCTAGCATTTACTATGAAACAAGCACTCCATCAACTTTTCACGTGGTATATCTAATAAGAGACTGATTTCCTTTTGCTGCCTTCTCCGCGTAATAACTGTTATTACTGGGACATTAGTTTAGTTTAGTTAGTGTCTTTTAAAATAAAACTATGTTTTTCTTTTAGCTATTTAAGACTTACATTTCTTGCTATTTTCATCAATTTTTAGGCCATTTATGCACTTTATCTAAGATCATGCATTTTGTATTGCTATCAACAAAATTTTAGCATAAATATCAAATGGCCCCTAACCACTTACTTCAGGGAAAAACTGACTTTCTATTTTGACATGAACTTGAAGGAGACCTGCCTTCTTGTGTTTAATTACATTAGCATTACCTCTTCCTTTTCCCTTTCAAGGGAAGCTTCAAAATGAACTTTGACCAACTCTCTTCTGTTCCCACTAAAACCTTCCTGAGACAATAACATTTTTTCACTTTGAAAAGAACGGTATCTCCTGGGCTTTGTTCCTTACTCACAGTGAAAGTATGCTTACCTCCTCCTCGCTTTCCAGGATTATGTATCTGCATTGTTTCAGTCCAGGCGTGGCATTTAGAGTACACCGTGTTTCCTAACCTTTTCTTTCAGCTCCAGGAGGTGTGCTCCTTCCCCATAAACCAGACCACGGAGCCTCTCAGAGCGAATCTGGTAAATGAACCTTTTGATTTTCTCAATTAGGAAGTATATTTTTCAAAAATATTCTTGAGGTAAATATTTTTTTTAATGATTGTAGGTGTGGAAGATGTTTGAAAAAAACTATGACTATAAAATGTGTATTTCTTTATTTCTTTTTGGGAAGGGATAATCGTACAATCTGTATGAATTTTTTCCCCCTGGTTAACACTAGGGAACAATGTGCAATTAGTTTATTTTTCCTGGAAGTGTTTTCATTGAATAGGACAGTGGTCGGCAAACTCATTAGTCAACAGAGCCAACTATCAACAGTACAACAATTAAAATTTATTTTGAGAGCCAAATTTTTTAAGCTTAAACTTCTTCTAATGCCACTTCTTCAAAATAGACTCGCCCAGGCTGTGGTATTTTGTGGAAGAGCCACACTCAAGGGGCCAAAGAGTGGACCAGTTTGCTGACCATGGGAATAGGAAATCATGTTAATATTATAAGGCCTAGTGATTAACCTAGCCAACCATTTTCACCTTCTTTCAAAATGTAAATTTAACTACATTCCAACTGTGCATGTACTTTGAAGTAAAATATATAGGAGTTGACTCAAAAAATATTCTGAAAGTGGCAGTGAATACAAAATTTAATGTTTTAACTAAGCTAAGTTTCCTGAGTAGCATCTAATATATATAATTTTCTTATATTTATCATGGTTCTTAGAGAACTTTTAAATGTTCAAATGAATGCATGGAGAAACACAGAAACTATTTTCACTTCACCAGGTAGTAATTCTCACGAATATGTCTCTTTGGTTTGCTTTTGGCCCAGTTCTGCAGCCTGTTACCTTTAGAATTGATCCGCCAGAGACAACAATAGGTAATGGCTTTCCCATATTGACCAAGTCTAATTGTTTTCCTTGCCATTGTCAGAATTATAGGTCTTTCTCAAATGATCCTATTGAAACATCATCTCTTCTCAAACCATTTCATCATTTCATTCTCATTATCACTCTTCCCGAAATAGAAAAGTAATGATTTCACTGTTCTAAAAGGTTTGCTCTGAAGATCAGCTTAGGACAGCTCACTACCAAGCCCATCCTCACCTACCTCATTAATCTCCGTGTTCCAAATGACTCCACCTCACTCATTGCCATCCAGTTAACATTTTCTGCTGGTTTGGTGGTTCTCAGCTGTAGTGTTACGATATATTAGCAATTTGGGAGTGGTACTGGCAATAATTATCATTAATATCGATCAAAGTACTGAAATTTGCCAATGGTTTAGATTAAAAAATAAACACGAGCAGACTTGCAATGATTGTAGCAAGCACAATATTAATACTCTCATTCATTTTGTAACCCTGTGTGCTGTGTTGGGTGGGAGAATGACAGCTGACATGCTCAGGACTGTGACTGGCCCATACCCCATCTTACTGGTATGGTCATGGAGGTCAAGCATTGAATGGCATTTATTACCTATCCTAGTGGGAAAGCACAGTTGAGAACCATCATTCCAATACTTCAGTCATTTTCCCAAGGTTCTGTGCATACTTCATTTTCTTCTCCACAACTCAGTGTTTTTCTTTTTCTGTTTCAATTGAAGGATCTCATGTGATATTCTGGTCTGGCTCTGGCTTTTGAATCTAGGGATTGAAAACCTTGGTGCTTATCTTTTGCAGCTCCTTTAGACACCCGAAGCAGCCCTTTCGTCCCTTTGATTTCACCAAGTTCTAGTCAAGAGGAACTACAAACCATTCTGGGTAAATTTTGTTCTGATATTTCAGTCCAATGAGGACCTACCTACCAGGGCTTGCTCTTAAAGAAACCATATACATTGTGTTCCTGTTGTTTCCAAGCAACAGAGGGTTTCTTTCTACCATTACATAAAATGCCCACATCACTCGATCCTTTTACATTAATTGTATATTCGTCCTAATACCTATGGTGCTTTTTAATATAAAATAATGAGAAGGTTTTAAATCATCTTGACAAATTTTCAAGTATTCTAAAAAGCAGAATGTTCCCAACGCGTATCAATCTTATGTTTTATTGTTTCTTCTGTACTTGAAAGTGCATTTGAAAGAAAAATTGTATCTAATATTTTTTTTTAGTTTTAGTTCATTTTCTTTAACCCAATATATCCAAAGTATTATTTATTTATTTTTATTATTATTTATAATAAATTCTAGTATTTTTTTTTTTTTTAGTGTTTTATGGGCACAAGGCTAAGCAATGGGAGTTCCAAAATAAAACTGTTTTAGAGATGGGTCCTTCCCCTGGAGAACTTGCCCTGTAATATGAAAACAGGGTTTAGGGATAGTGGTACTTCCCGAGTGCCCCCGAGGATGCTACATGCAGTTTTAAATTTAAGCCACATGACAACTTTGCGAGGTAGGTTCCATTACTTGCCTCATTTTACAATTAGAAAATTGAGGCATAGAGGAATTTAAAATTGTGGCCAAGTCACACAACTAACGTCAGAGCCAAATTGGGACCCGCACACTCAGTCACCAGAGCCCCTGAGGTTCACCACTGCGTTATGCTTTCCAATGAGTGTGACAGAGAAATGAGCAACATGCTAACCAAGCCAGCTCCCTGCAGGCATCGGGGAGGCTTCACAGAAGAGGGGACATTAAACTGGGTGTTTAAGTTGGAGTGACAGTTGACATTAAAAATGCAAGGTCCTTCCAGGTTAAAGATGGATGGGATTGAGGCGCAGGGCAGACTGGCAGCCAGTCTAATGCGGTGAGCATGCAGGTCACATGGAGAAAAGTTGATGGATGAGTCAGGACAGTTGTTTAGGATGAGCTGGCTGTGCTTTCGGGGAGTTCACAGAGTGGGAAATCCCAGTCTGCCTGACTCTTGGCTGACAATGAGCCAGAAAACACGTGTTCTCAGCTTGTGATTTCTGGCTCCTGTGTCTGTCCGTGCTACATCACACATGGCTGTGTCTAAATTAGTGGCTTTGTTTTCCTTTCTTTCCTCCCTTTTCAAATAAACTCGTTCTTTATGTATGGCTGCTGAAATGAAGTTATGAGTCACGTTTTAAAATAATTTTAATGAAGTCATGGATCACATTTTAAAATAAAATTCTTTTAGAGAGAAAAATTAAAAACCAAATTAGTAAATATGCCCTGATTACCAAATATTGGTCTATTGTAGTCTAGGCCCACAGAGTCAAGATCACCCATGAAAATGAAATCAAAAGTACTCTCAAGAACCCCTGCCAGAGAGGCTAATTATCCAACTTCCTTTCCATATTTTTTTAATGTATCTTGGTTTATTGAAGCAAAAATCATCACCTATCATTCATCTCATGTATCTCTCTTGAGCCAAATCCAAATTATAAAGCAGAACAGAAACAAACAACAAACAAAAGATGACAATATATTATTTGCAGAAAGTTTTTCCTTGGATTCAGTATATGCCAAAGTGAACAATTTTCTGTCTGCATGATACGGTAATGATAAAAGATAATATTGAAGGTGGAACTATTGCCATAATTATTTTTTTTAAATGGGGTGGAGGAGGAGTCAGGAGATGTGTGTCTATTTGTCAGAAAACATAAACTTTGCTTTTCACATGAGGAAAATAAAATGTATCCTTATATGGTACAAATGGACATATTTTTATCTGATTTATTTCTTTTCCAGCTCACCTAAATAACTTGTGGAATAATTTATGGAATAGGAAAAAGACACAAAGGCAGTTAGGAGACATATCCAAGTATCATCACCTCCAGTATCATGAAATATTGATCCTGATCTGAAAGCGTTTGAAAACGCTTATATCCAGGACTTAATATCATTATACAAATTCTCTTAACATAGTGATATAACATACTATGTTTTAATTATTTTCTTATGTTCTAAGGATCCTCAGCTGAAGAGAGAAAATATAATAAAGGAGAGTTACAAAAGTGCACTATTAACTTTGAATTATGATGATTACTGGGCATACTGATAAATACCCTTTTATTATTATCACTTGTTTATAACGTTAATTATTTAAAGCAAACCACCTTCCTGTGTTTTTCCCCAGCAGAAACAGACCAAGCCACCCAAGAGCTCTTCACAACTAAGATTCCACCAACAACTGAATTGGCAAAGACAACTCGGGGTAACACTATTTTCCCACCTCTGTACAGTGACCTTCTTTTCTTCATTTTAAATTAGGAAATATAATTTCTTCACAAAATGTAATTTCTCATCACAGTGAATTACTTGATTTTTCTCATTTCATAGGTGCGGGACATCAGCCAAATATTAATGCCCATATGACTATCAGTGGATGTAGGGAAGACAAGTGTTTTAGTCATGAATGCATGGCTGAGAACTAACAATGAAAGCTCTCTTTTGTTATTCCTTGATTGACCTTCATTTGACCCATGTTCTACATCTGATAAATGAGACTCTTTCTTACCTTTCCTCTCCCACACTCCCCACCACTCTCCTCTTCCCCTCCTTTTTCTTTCTGTGCCCAACTTGCTGGACACATTGATAGGTGGCCCAAGGAAGGAAACTAGTAAGAAGATATATCAGTTTTTAAAGATAATTTAATATTGAAATTTCCAGGAAACTTTTCTCTGAAATGTCCTTTTTTAATTTCTTCTTTTCTATGTTTTGGAAATTAAACTCACCTACACAAACCTCTATCTCATCTTCATGCTCTCAGGAGGATGTTTTTATCCTATCTGGGTTATCACCATGGTGGGTTCCCAGTATTTCTGTGTGTTCTTTCTTTCTTATTTGCCCCAAATGACCCCTTTTGCCCATCTCTGCCTCTTCCTTATGGAAATAAGCCCAAGAAGCAAAAGCAAATATTTTTTAAGGAATTAGAAGACACATTTATTTTATTCTTTTGTTTACTATAATTTTGGGGTAGGGAATTTAATGGAAGAAATTTGAAATAATAAGAGCAAATAATAACAATAAAAGAAGTCTGATTTTATGGTGTATATTGCAGTAAGTAGAGTAGTATGTACTTCTATAACTGTGACTGAACACTACGGCATAGTTCTCATAATTTTTGTAAATTTTTTTACTTGTTTGGTTTAATTTTTACTATGTTTTAAGTGTTTATTTTATTAATTGCTTTATCACCATCCTACTTATTCACTTTTTATTTATAAATCTACACAGAAGCCTAATATACTGTCAGCCCTCCCACATCCTCATTAGTAGCAGATGTTTGATCATATCACATCTATACTCCACCCTCATTTTTGCATGTTTATTTTTTATGTTTTTGCAAACTTTTTTAATGTCTGGCTTAATAGAAGATAGCTGGATTATCATAATCAAGCACATTAATTTTTTTGCAGGAAACTATACATGTACTTACACTAAGCAGGAGAAATAAAGACTATTCAGCGCAGGTCCTGTTGCCAAATGAGAAAGCTTTCAGCTTTCTAGCGCTTTATAGGTTTCAGAATTGAGGATGGAAGATCATAGAGCTGTTCTTTACTTTTGCATTTTCTTACTTTAATGGGAATACCAGTATTGTGTTACCAGTATGAATGTATGTAGAATTCTTACCAAATCCCTTCTAGGTCATGTTTTTTTTTTTAGATAGAAGTTTCATAGTTGATTGGATATATATATCCAAGACTTGATATCATTATATGAATTTCTTTTAACATAGTGATAGAGCATACTATGTTTTCAATATTTTCTTAAGTGCTGAGGATCCTCAGCTTAAGTCTCAGCTGCACTTTTCTGGACTGTGCCAAGGATCTTGAGAGTGGCTCGCCAGAGATTCTTTTCCATGAGGTGACAAGGGACATCCCAGGAAAGAACCCATCTAAGGATGAGAGTAACATCCACCTGGCCCAGCCCGATAGCCCTGCCTGGGAGAGAGGGTCATCTTTAGTCACGACATGATGTGTGTCCCTAGGAACACCTTTGGCCCAGTCCTCATAAACGTCTGCCTGAGCTCTAAGGAAGGGGCTGCCAATCAGCTGTTTGTTTTGGATGGGCTGTGCTGTTCTATTTGTAACACCAACCATTGGGAGCACAGAACAGCACACAGTACTTTGATACAGATTCTGTAGGGGTGAAATTGTTCCTCTTGATCTTTTCACTCTACGCATGTGCCCTCCGATCCCTCAGACATAGGGCCTAAGTGCTCAGGAAACTCCAGCACCTCCTCTGCGAGCCTTCGCTCCCTTATCGACTGAGACAGTTCCCTGAAGCACTCTGCGCCCTGCAATGCTCAAACACTTCGGCTCTGCCTTTCGCTTCTCAACCCGTAGTAGAAATCCACTTAGCCAGCTGTATTTGGAAAGTACTTTCATTATTTTACTGCTTGCAGCCCCTGATACTTACCCACCCAGGGAACGCTGAATATACTCCGTCCCCTCTCCCTGTAGTAGGCAGAACACATATCATTCACAGTGTTCCTCCAATAATCCCTGTTTGTTTAGTTTTAAAGTTCATTTTACATAGATTTTTATAGAACTATTCAGATATGAAGCCATCTTTTAAAGTTATTTTTATTATTGGTCACCAAAATCTACATGGAGATGTTGTTTACAGAGTTACATTGTCACAAAGCTCCTTTGTCCTTTTTTTTTTTTTTTTTTTTTCTTTAAAACTGAAACCCTAGAGTAGATTTCTCAAGGCCATGTGTTATTTGGTGATGAGATATGTAACTCACAACCTAAACTTAAAATTATGTTTTGGCTTTTTTTTTTTTTATATATATATAAAAGTTATTTTTAGATTTAAGTAGAGACTCTGGAACACTAAAAAATCCTGTGACTTGAAATAATGAATATAGTGCTGATTATTTTTGTGTTCTGCTCTAAGGCTCTTCTAACTAAAGTTTTTATTTTTTTTTATTTTTTTTAAATCAATCTTTATTGTTCATATTATTACAAAGGTTCCTCATTTCTTCCCCCCTCCACCCGGTTCCCACCCCACCCTCTGCCCCCTCCCCATCCCCCATTGTCCTCATCCATAGGTGCAGTTTATGTTCAGTCTCTTCTTCCCTCAATTTCCCCAATAGTAAATCCCTTTTCAGATAGTAAATCAGTTACTTAGCATTTTCTCATATCAATAATACCTCCACATGCCCAATGATACACTTCACACAAAAGACATTTCCCAATAGGTCCACCAGCCTCATCCAGGCCCTACCCAAGGCACTCACAGATCAACACCCCAGTCCTAAACTAACTCAACACATCCAGATCTCAGCCTTCATCACTTGATTCAGCAGACCCTCAAGTTCCCATGAAAGTTTCCAGCCATGTCTGAGAAGCAGCCGTGGGGCAGGGGCAGGCAAGGAGCAAGCTGTTCTGGGCCTGGCTGCTCAGGGCCTGGCCTCTGTTGCTCTGGTTCATTCCACAACCAGCTGCTCCGGGTCTGGTCACTGCCGCTCCCGACCTAGTTACTCTGGACTTGGCTGCTGCTGCTCCGGGCCTGGCCGCTCCCAGCCTGGCAGCCGCTGCTCCGGGCCTGGCTGCACCCGACCCGCCTGCTCCCCCGGGCCTGGCCGCTCCCAGCCTGGCAGCCGCTGCTCCGGGCCTGGCCGCACCCGACCCGCCTGCTCCCCCAGGCCTGGCTGCTCCCAGCTAACTAAAGTTTTTAAAATTTAAATTTCTTCTAAAATGAGACTAATAAGAACCATGATCATTTAGTTCTTTAAAAGAAAGCAATCTAACACAGAAGAAATTAATACAAAACCCTGAAATATGTTGGATTGACAGATAATTCTCAAAGAAAATTAAAGAAAAACATGGGCTAATCATCATTATGCATTTTAGGGTGTGTAAGAATTCATATTTTATAGCATCAATGCCTCTGTTCACTCTAGTTATTACACTTTAATGGGCCCGCACTGAATCCACAGAGAATATCAGTGTGTGTCTGCTGGTTTTTGGCTTGAAATATGCTCATCGGTCTTCACATAGGAAGCTTATAAATGAGCTACATTATAATCTGTTTTGCAGGTGTTTTTTTTTAACTTGTTAGGCAAAGCATTGCTGATTTATGGTTACATACATACCCCCTCAAGGTCTGAACAAAAGCAATGTAATTTACTTACAAGTTTGTAAAAAGAATTGTTTCCCTCCAGTCTTAGCTAAAGCATTACCAGGAAAGTTGGAGTTAGGAGGCAGTGTGCTGTGTCAAGGGGGCAGAGGAGGGAAGGGAAGAACAGACAAACTCCTGGATAAATGCATATTTTAAAACCTTAGGAAGCAACCAACCTGAGTTTCTTGTGAATTTGTCCGTTTACGATGCTTGCTCATTTTTTAATTTATTCAACAAATCTTCAGTTGGAATCCTCACGGTGTCCGGTCCTAGATTACAGGAACAGGAAATGACAAGTTGATATGTTGGTCCCAGAGCTTGTCTGAGTTCTTGCTCCTTGCTCTCCCTAGATTGCTGAGCAGGGCCCCTGAAGTCATTTTCTCTCATCCTAATGCTGTAAGAAATGGCACTAAGTGGGCATTGATTCATTTCAAGGTTCATAAGCCAAGACATTTTGGTAGAGATCACATGTTTTTACTCATTTCTTCTTACCTACCTCAAAATATTTTTTTGTTTTGCCTTTAAGATTACTGGTCTTTTTTGGAAAAACAGCGTTTCACAGTGTCTACCTAATTGAGTGATGTGGATGGATGGATAGATGGACACATGGATGATGGATGGATGAATGCTTGGCTGCCTTTTATGTTTACCATGTTAAGCAACCATCTGGTAAAGTAAATGTCCTTGAAAAATTGGACTAATAGTGACATCTGTAACACTCATTAGAAATTACCTACCTCATTCTGATAATGTGCTTTTTAATATCCAATCATGAGTACTTTCACTTATTTTATTTTCCTTTGCAGAATGTTCTTTCCACTTCCATACACAATGTACAAATTGTCGGTCCCTAGGGTTTCAAATCTTGATTTAGTGGGCTTTGGAATATAGGGTATTAAACATGAAGCATTTGCTCTGTTTCAGCACCACACAGACTGTACACTATTCCTGTGAGGCCCAAAATACCAGAAAAACCAGACATCAGACCTGGTAAGTTGTTTCTCTTTCTGATGACCCAAACAATCAGCACATCTGAGATGATATAAAATGTGTTAAAGCAGCTAGATGTACTAAAGAAGAACTATAAACTTAAACTGAAATAATGGACGTACAGAAATTCTGATCCTTGCAGATAAGTGGAGAGGTAATGATGGATCCATGGAACCGACAAGACCTGAGTGAGGTTTTTAAGGAGGATCAGATTCAGAGACCACTATAGAATTTAATACAAAATTATTTTTAAATAGTATTTGTGCATAAATCACATACAGAGGCACACTTTTTCAATTTTCCACGGCAATTATAGGTAGCATTAACATTCTGTGTGACATATTACTTGCTTTCAAATATTATTAACCTATTTGATTTTATTGTTTAAGGTATTACAAATAGTAGTACATATGTCTCCCTTTTTTTCTCTCATTGACCTCCTCCCAGCTTCCTCTACCCCCTGGCACTTACCCTCAATCAGGGTCCAATGGTTACTCTCTCTGTTTGCTTGTTTGTTTTTTAAATATATATTTTATTGATTTTACACAGAGAGGAATTAAGAGAGAGAGAGAGTTAGAAACGTCGATGAGAGAGAGTCATCGACCAGCTGCCTCTTGCACACACCCAAACTGGGGATGTGCCCACAACCAAAGTACGTGCCCTTGACCGGAATCGAACCTGGGACCTTTCAGTCTGCAGACTGACACTCTATCCACTGAGCCAAACCGGTTACGGCCAATGGTTACTCTCTTAACCATGGTATATTTAGTTCTTTTCTTTAAAGAGTCTTCTAAGCGAAAGATAAGACAGGTGACCTCTTAAAGTTTTGATAATGCTATGGCTGTCAACAGAGCAGAAAAGAAATTTTAATGCTTTTATTACAGTTTTGTGTTTAATAATGGACTTGTACCAGGATTATTAAAGGAGCATATGTACCTAGAGACTCATGCAAAAGGACCATCCACTTATAAGTTATGAATTAAGGCCTTGACAAGTAAATACACTTCAAGTTTTATTTTTTCATTAGCATAGGTAGTCCTAATTGTCCTTCAGTTCATTTTGGAACATATCTAGTGCCTATAAATTAAAAATATATATTTCCAATTTAGAAATATAAATTTCTTTGCCAGTTAATTTTTTCAAGCCCAGTGATCACATTAGAGTACAAACCCAGGTTTCTATTTCCAAATACAAACCTATGATTTTTATACCAGAATTGTATACCAGGTTTCTATATTCTGAACAATAATTTTTGGTAAACCATCAATTTTTTTATTGCTTGGTTAAATGATTTACAATTCTCTGGGAAGTTTTGTTTTCCTTGGCTTCAAATTATTATAAGGAAATGTCTGAACTATTTCTTTCCTACTTTATTATAGTTTTGAATAAAACAACTACAAGACCCATTAGACCCAAACCCAGTGGGATGCCCAAAGGGAATGAAATAGGAACAGGTAATGATCACAAATTTATTTCCTATTGATGCTGCCAAAACTATAAATGTTTTCATTCAATTTTTATAGTTTTGTTGAATTCTCACTTCAATTTCTTTACTAGTTTTGGAAGTTCCTAGCTTAAGGAATTAAAAATTGTAATGCATTCTAAAATCAAAGCATCCTATGTCTCTGAAAAATTTTAAGAATAATTTATCATTTTTCTAAACCCAGTTCACTAAATAGCTTGATTCTTTAAAAATCCTGATTAATATAAATTATTGAATTAAAATATCAAAATAGCTGTTTTTCTTCATTTCAAAACAAGTCCAATACATAGGCTTGGTCTTTGAGACTGAAATCACTTGGTTTTCAACTTTATAATTTCATAAAGACCATTATAACTGTTAAGAGATTTAAATCTATTAGAAATCTTGACAAAATATTAAAATAAGAAGGAGAATTGGCAATTGATCACCCTTGTTATAGTAATACTAGAGGCCTTGCGCACGAAATTCGTATTCTGGGAGGGTGTCCTTCAGCCCAGCCTGCTCCCTCTTCAATCTGGGACCCCTTGGGGGATGACCAACCGCCTGATATCCCCTGTGGGATCAGGCCTAAACTGGCAGGCGGACATCCCTCTCACAATCTGAGACTGCTGGCTCTTAACCAATCACCTGCCTGCTTGCCTGATTCCCCTAACCTGCTTCTGCTGCCACCCTGATCACCCCCTAACCACTCCCCTGCCAGCCTCATTGATGCCTAACTGCTCCCCTGCTGGCCCGATCACTCCAACTGCCCTTTCCTGCTGAACTGATCACCCCCAACTGTCCTCTTCTGCCGGCCATCTTGTGACAATGTGGGGGCAGCCATCTTGTGATGACATGAGACAGCCATCTTCTGGTGGCCATCTTGTGATGACATGGGGTGGCCATCTTATGATGATGTGGGGGTGGCCAGCTTGTGATAATGTGGGGGCAGCCATCTTATGAGGGCATGAGGAGTCAATTTGCATATTACCTCTTTATTATATAGGATTGTTTCCAAATTATACTGTTCAAGTAAATGACATTAATTTAGTCACATCTATAGGACTAGGCATCATACAGATAACTAGGACAATGATCTGATAAAAGTACAAACACCCAACTCACTAAGTGCATAAATGATAATTTTGATGACTTAATATGGGGTGGCATCATTTCCTTGCAATATATATTTATTAATATGCATAATATATATATTTATACATATATATATTGCATAATATATATATTTATACATATATATAATTGTTATTTATCACCTGAGGATATGTTGTTTTCTCTATTGATTTTTAGAGAGAATGTAAAGGATAGGGAGAGACAGAAAGAAACATTGATGTGAGAGAAGCACAATGATTAGTTGCCTCCCATAAGTTCCTCAACCAGGTACAGGAATCAAGCCTGCAAACAAGGTACATGCCCTTGACCATAATCAAACCTCGGTCTGCAGACCAAAGCTCTAACTACTGAAAAAAACTGGTTAGGGCAATATTTTTAAAATTAGTACAAAATTTGTGCTTTTTTATGTAAAAAAAGTATGAAAGTGAGAATTTATTTAATGATATATATTTAATCAACCCATGATGGTTTCCTAATGAAAAAAAAGATGTAAATAATACCTGGAGATATTCAGTATAAAAATCATTAAGATTTGTTTTAGAATGTCTTTTTTGTATAAGGTTATTATAGGGTCTGAAGTTGTAGGAATTAACTTCCCTGAAATCCAAGTAATGAGACAATTGCTATAAGTTGCTAACTCATAAAAAATAAGAAAGAGTTCTGATACCTATTTGTGCTTAGCTGCTCCTTTTATTCTTCACAACAGTGAGATTAGGCAATGCATAGTTTCTCGACTTGACATGAACAACCTGGCTCTAAACAGAGCCAACTTCTTAATATTCAAAGTAATTATCTCAAGTTTGTCTAAGTAAAAATAGAGGAAAGCACTTATGTCAACAAAGCAAAGGAAAGAATGACTAGCTATAATCAAACTTGAAAGCTTTCAACCTTCAGCACAATCAAGCATTCTCACTAGGAAAGTGCTCATTGTTCTTCAGAGGGAAAATCAGAGTCATTATATTTTAGTTTATCAACAATAAAAAAATTTTTTCAGAGCCACTTATAACACAAACTGACATATATTACCCTCTTGTGAAGTCAACTATGTAGTAATAACTCATGTAACTTAGCGTTACATAATCTCTTATCAGGGCTTTTTCCATCTAATTAGCTGGCTGCTGGTAGAAAGGGGCTGGTAGGCATAGGTAGACAAAGCTGAGCTCACTCTTTCCCTTATTCTTGCTCCACCTCCACCCTCAACCAAACTGTGTTTCACCTATTCTGTGTTCTAATGTCTATCTATTGGGATTTCCCTTCAGGGAAACACTTGCTGCCCACCTGGAGTGAGGTCAGCAGATAGCATCTAACTGTCAGCTCCTTCAAGGTCAACCTCTCAAGATTTGGGTGGTACATTTCCATGTCACTACAATAACACATAACAACCAAATGACATTTACCTTAGCAATACAAGGTTGGCTCAACATTCAAACAAATTAGTGTAATTTTCTACATTAACAGAGCAAAGAAGAAAAATTATCATCTCAATAAATATAAAAAAAAAACCACCATTAGACAAACTTCAAAATTTATTCATGATGAAAACTCAGAAAATTAGGAATTGAAAAAATTTTCCTCACTGATAAAGGGCATCTGTGAAAAATCTACAGTTAACATTATACTTAATAGAGAAAGTAAAAATATTTTTCTCCTAACATCAAGAACACAAGTAAGGGCTACATATGTAGCCAGTGCACTAAGTCAAGAAAAGAAGTAGACAGTATAAAAACTGGGAATCACAGACGACATTATTTAGCATCTTATGAAAGAAATGTTTAACAGCTCTCAAACTATTTGCCTAGGGAATAAAAAATTGGTAAGAAAAAGAATGTTTAAAATATATTCTCTCCAAGTTATAGGTTTACATGAGTTTACCTTTCTTTGATTCTGCATGGTTTTGATCTGATTTGTTTGCAGAAATCCAGGTATTCACATTAAGCTTATTTTCTTCTCTGACCCAGTCCCACTTTCTCATCCACATTCACTTCTAACCTCCATTGAGTCTTAATGAGACAATATTTCTGTGTCAACTGCTTCCTTATCCGACTTTCATATCTTGCCCAGAATATTTATCTTTATTATCCATCTCACATACATTTTTCTATAGTTTTCCTTGCTAAAGTTTGCAGCCCAGATACTTTATAATAAAAATAAAATCAGTTGGTAAATGAAGTGTGTAGGATTTATAGGACATATTCTTAATGGTCTTAGATCTCTTAAGGTTGTGCCCTTGGAAGACTAAAGAAGATTTTAAGGCCTCAAAACTATCAACCTTTGATTATTTGGGCCTCTCTAATAATTTCACAATGATTGCAAAAACTGCAAAAATCCTTAAGCCATCTTGAGACAAGTATCTTATCTTACTATTACAGATTTTTATCCTGTTTTATGTACATTCCATACCTATATGCATAAATATTTCTCCACCTCGAAGTTAGAAAGCAGCTTATAAGAGGTTGAAGTTTTAGGCTGATCACCATCTCTGCATCTCTTTTTTTCATGGCTTCTAGAGCTGTGTCTCAGCTTAACTTACGTGTTCTTCATATTATAACCAACAACTTAAGAGATGCAACAAGCATGTGTTAGATCTCATAAACTAGAGCCCCACAGGCCAACTTCAACTCACTGTTTACTTTTGTAAATAAAGTGTTTTTGAAACATAGCTTGCTTTCTCTGGCAGAGTTCAATAGTTGTGACAGAGACATATGGCCCTCAAAGCTGACAATATTTACTACCTGACCCTTGGCAAAATGTTTTCCAACCCTGCACTAGACAGGCTGTCAACTTTCTCCCTACAGGAGAGAGCTGCTGAGTTGTGCAGCTAATATTTCATCCAACCAACATTTATTGAAGGCCCACTAAGTGCTAGGTGAAGTGTCACTTGGAAACCACCTTGGCACATGTAGTTTGGCAGATACGTTCCATACTTGGACCCCAGACTCCTTTTTCTGATAAAGTGCACTTCACTGCCCCCACATGGAGTTTGCTTGACAACCAATCCCCAGACCCCTTTTGTGATTTGTGTATTTACATCTAAGGAATGTGTTTGAGCTGTGGCTAACTTTTCCAGTCTGCTGGCTCATTACCCCTGACTTTTTAGCTAGGTGCTAAGGTTTGGAGACAAAGATGAGGAGAGCAATTATCCATAAACACCACGCCTTTATGGTAATAGAAAATAGAGTGTCTGATACATTTGGAAATTAATGTTCACTTTACAATGTTTCTTTACAAATCTTTTGTTACCATGGTTAAAAATACTCAAATCTTACTTTATTTTTTACAATAAATTCCTAAGAGTTGAACTGTGTAAATCCAGAAAATGTTGGAGAACTCCCGTTTGGCCATCAGGAGCTCAGAGTGAGTGAGACTCACTGTGTTGGTGTTTCCGAAGACAATTCTGCACTTTAGGAAACATGTGGATTAATCCTGCCTGACGGGAAAGAATTCACATCACAGGCTGGGCCACAGTGGCTGATGATGTACCAGCTCCTGAGAATTCTTTCTCTTTGGTGTCTCTCTTACCACCTTCTTCCTTCCCCTCCAATTTCCTCTCAGCTATCTTTGACCTTCACCTCTCTCCTCTGCTTCAGGGAAACACAAGTTCACTGGTCTGCAGCTCCTGTGCTCACACTGCTGCCTAGCTCATGTGCAAACCACAGCGAGGTGGAGGCAAAGCCAGCCTCTGGTCCTCAGTGCAGTGCTCTTTCCCTGCGCCCCATGCCTGCCTTTCATGGGACTGTACCAATCGTTTCATCTACCACTCGCTTTTATGTGTTTTACAAGCTAGCCCAAGTCCAGTTTTTCAACTGATGCTTTCTTGACTTGGGTATTTATATTTAAGGATCTTAACAATATGACGCTCTGTCTCTACTTTTATAAAAAGTGATAGGAAATGGCTGCTTTCTGTTGATTGCTCCCTTACTTAGAAAAGAAGCCAGTTTATATCTATGGTCTTACTCATAAAGGAATCCTGCATAATTTTGGATTCTCTCCTAGATCACCAGTTCACCAGCTCATGGCTGGTAGATATGGCATGTGCATGGTGGTATCTTCCATCAGCCCTGTATTATGTTATCCTGAGTCCCACACACCGAGGGCATAGCTGGATGATACAGGCATGCCAGTCCTGACCATGTAGCCCTCAGACAGTGGTGGCACTTTAAAATACCCAAAGACAGAGTGTAGGACTCTAGGGCTGAAGTCACTCAGAGTCATTATGAGGAATAAGAGAAAAATAAAAATGACAAGAAAAGATAGTATTCTGTACAATCCCACTTAGGGCTTAAGAGATAGGCTTAGGAGTCAGGCACATGTGGATCTGAATCCCACCTCTTCCAGCTGTGAGTCCTTGGGCATCTGCTTAATCTCCCCTTGCCTTGGGTTTCCTCAACTGTGGGACCTCGGTGATATCCCCCACCCAGAAGGTTTAGAAGGATCAAATCAGGTATTGATCATGTAAAGTACTTGCACAATATCAAATCAAAATACTTTAATTTTTTAAGGGTAGAAAATTTTGGAGAAAGGCTATGAGGAGGTATAGGGAAGGCACACACAGCCTACTAGCCTTCTACAGTATATGATACATATTTTACCCTGAACAATAGTGGTAAATCAAATCTTACCAAGTCAAGGCATCCCAGTGACACAGATGGAAGTGTTTTCCATTTCCCTATGCCGTGCCCAGAGCAACCACCCACATGAGTCATTTCCCTGGCCCATTACTGCTGACAGCGGGGCACAGGATGAAAATTAATGAGCCATTTGTTTCCACCATGCCTGTAGGGTTAGCCACAAAATTGTCATTGACCCCAGAAACAGTTTTTTCCTACCGCAAATTAGCAGTAATTAATTCATGACTCCATATAAGCTTTCACTAATATTTCATATATTATCTTTTATTCAAGCAACAGAGTGTATGAATTATAAAAAATTTTGGTTCGTAAATTAATGTTAATTATTATTGTAATGTAAAAACTATAATAATGCTAGAATATAATGTTAATAATTTTAACATTAATACTAATTATGTTAATTTCTATTACAGTAGTTATAATTAATAATATCATAAGTTAATGGGGGAATATCATCTAGTTTTTGGCAAGCAAAGTTGTATGTTTAATTTATGATTTTGGTTGTATTTGTCATTGTTAATGTACTAGCTAGTATGTTAATTAAATGTTCTCATCTTACAGTATGTGAATTATTGTAGAATCCTGAGAGTATGGACTCTTAGAATGAATCATTATATCTAATGAGATACTTTGTAAATCTAAAAATATGATTCTATCTCTTCTTAGTGAAGACTGTCAGCCATGTCGGGGAAGATTATTTTATAATATAAACAAATAATAACTCTGGCCTTTGTGGCTCAGTTAGTTGGGTGTCTTCCTGTACACCAAATGGTCAAAGCACATCCCTGGTTTGCAGGCTCTATCCCCAGTGGAAGGCATGCAATTGATGTTATGCTCTCACATCGTTGTTTCTCTCTTTTCCCTTCCTCTCTCAATAAAAATCAATAAACTGTTCTTTAAAAATAGCCGTAACCGGTTTGGCTCAGTGAATAGAGCATCAGCCTGCAGACTGAAAGGTCCCAGGTTCAATTCCGGTCAGGGCACGTACATTGGTTGTGGGAACATCCCCAGATGGGGGTGTGCAAAAGGTAGTTGATCGATGTTTCTCTCTCATCAATGTTTCTAACTCTCTACCCCTCTCTCTTCCTCTTTATGAAAAATCAATAAAATATATTTTTTTAAAAAACTATTCTTTAAAAGTAAAAGAATAATAATGATTTTAAAAGGATGAAACCTAAACTCCAAGCCTGGGTATTTAGATGAATGGCTGAGTTCATCTAAATGATTACTCATCATTTGAGTAATAACCACCAGATTGTGTTTGAGAAGTTTAGGAGTTCAAATATCACAAAAAGTAATTTTCAGATCAGTTTCTTTCAAATAGCAATTTGGAGTACGAGGCCTGCCCAGGATTAACTTACAAATCTCAAAGGCACAGATCCAGTTTGTGGCCTACCCAGTCTGATAGCCAAATCCTCTCCAGAAATATTTTAAAAGCCAATTTATTATTTATAAACCCAAACACATTGGAATTTTGAGGGTTTTTTATGGGGATAGAACTGTTGGAGGAAATTTTTTCAAAACCACAAAATGTGTCCATGAATGTTGGGAAAGAATGGCCAATTACTGTAGATGAGATCCCCTGGTGAGGCAATACCACCCAGGAAGGCTGTGCAGACAACATGGAAAACCAAGACAGAAACCACAGTCCACAATCAAACATTAACTCTTCAGAGAAAATATCACAACCAATGAAGGTAGCCCTTTGAATTTTTTCTATGTGAAGATGGGAGAAGCCAATTAAGATGCCTGGCCTAACTTACCAGTGTCCCTACTCTGTAAAGAAAGCATGCTATGCCTTAGCTGGTTCGATTCAGTGGATAGAGCATCAGCCTGCGGATCAAAAGGCTCAGGGTTCAATTCCAGTCAAGGGCACGTACCTCGGTTCCAGGCTCCTCGCCAGCCTGGGCTCTGGTCAGGGCTCGTGCTTGAGACAACCAATTGATGTGTTTCTCACACGTCGATGTTTCTCACTATCTTACCCTCTCTCTTTTTCACTCTCCCTAAAAATCAATGGGAAAATATCTGCGGGCAAGGATTAATAAAAAATAAATAAATAAAAAAGAATGCTGTTATCACTGACACTCTACCAAGTTTCTGTTAATAAGAACATTTAATACATTTTTGCTATATGTTTATTTATTCCATTTTCTTATCTCTGCTCATAGGGGTCAAGCAACCACCAAACCCATCGGGTGCTGGTAGAAATGTGTCCATGGACTCTACCCACTTCACAAAAAAACCAGGTAAGGGGTAGGATGCTGACCCCCTTCCTCAGCTCCATGCTGGACCATAAGCAGTAACTGCAGTATCATTTGTTATCTCTCGGCCCCCAAAGCATCAGAGCCATGCTAGCAGTACATGGGGATTACTAGGAAAGCATTCAAACATCTTATCTTTGGGAGAATGAAAATGCTCTGTGTACAAATTAAACATTAATAAGAACCTCTCATGGGCACCAATTGAATAATTACTTTGTATTGTTTTCTGAAGGGCCCTAATGCACAAATGCTGGTGAGTCACTGTGGGTTCTAGTCTTCCTCATGTTCAAGTTTTGCTCTTGTGTAACTTATTACGATATCCTTTTGCCTGAAATGATTTATGTTTCTAATTTATGACTATGCTCTACATTTTAGGCCAAAATTATGTAGCTGGTGACTTGGAAAATCTTGGCATTTAATAAGTACTCTGCTTTCTGAAAGGATTCTGTGAAACCTACTCTGGTGGATTAATGTTGGGGCTACAGATCTAAATTCTGTCAGCACCACTCACTCCCCGCACGCATGCATGCACATGCACACATACTTTTTGGTCTCCTAAGAACTTAAAGACAAAGGGCATTTTCTGGGCTTGTCTGTTGTACATGAAGTTTAAAAAAATTTTAATAAGTTTTTTTTTATTAATTTAAAAGAGAGGGAGAGAGACATAGAAATGTCAATGATGAGAGAGAATCATCAATGGGCTGCCTCCTGGACACACCCTACTGGGGATCAAGCTCACAAACCAGGCATGCTCCCTGATCAGGAATTGAACTGTGACCTCCTGGTTCACTGAGCCACACCGGGCTGTATATGAAGGTTTTTAAATCAACATATATTATGCAAAGAAAGCTAAAACATAGACTTAGAAGAAAATTTGGGTTAAGGCAGAATGCTCCAGGCACCCCTAGCCTTACCAGCCTTAGTGCAAAGTAAATTCCAGTGCAATGTTTGAATGTTGCCTCTTCTGTCCATCCTTTAGATAAACCATTTACAACAAGGTATCCTTCCTCTGGGCTGGCAGCTTTGTACCAGGGCTTGTGGGTGGATGAGCAGGGTGGGTGTTAAAGTTTGGTTCCCACTTACACACCTGTGCCAGCTGCCCTTGTGCACTGCACACCCACTAACAATGACCCTGCTCTCTAGGGGTTTCTAGCTTCTGCCATCACGGCTCCTTGGTTGTAATGGTTTAAGTTCTGAAAGTGTTTGTTTAGTTATCATTACATCATAGAGTTTGGGGGTGAAGTGGATCACCCACTAATGGAGAAGTCATACACTTTAACAATTTAAAGCTAAAATGGCATAAGAATTATAATCTCAAAATCACATGCAATTGCAGATAATGAAATTCAATAATGCTATTGCTGAAACTATGTGGGAAACTAAAAATGTTAAATTCTACACATCTACACAGTCTTTCAAACGCACGTCTACCTATACATGTTTATCTACAACCAGAGGATGTTTTTATATGCTAATGTGCTTCATTATTCCTGAGTACATGACAATCATTGTTTTAAAAAAATATCAGAAATTACCTAGCACTTTGCTATAGAATCTGTGCCATTCAATTACTACTTATCAAACATTATAATTTTTTTAAAACCTGTGATTTTTATAGAGTGAATCCTTATGGCAACTTTATCTGTTATATGATCTCTTAGCCACAATTCCAGGCACTCGCCATCCACCCTTGCCACCTAGACCTGTACCCCCACGAAGAAAACCATTGCCACCAAATAATGTCACTGGCAAGCCAGGAAGTGCAGGTATGTCAGTCATATGCATTTCCTTCTCTCTTCATGACCTCAGGTGTTCTAGCCACCCACAGCCCTCCTTGGTATACTAGCCCAGGCAACAGACAAGCCCTTGGTGTGTGTGATGGTGCCTGGGCTGGCCCTAAAGACCAGACATAGCTTTGAGGACTCATATCCTGATTCTGGGTAGGTGGGTTGAAAGAAACCATCATTGAATTTCCCAGCCAATGCGTCTGCTTGGAGCCAAGACAGAGGCTGGCTGGGGCCCTTCCAGGAGTGGATTATTTGGGGCAAGATGTTGAAGGTTGCCAACCCACCAGGGGTAATAGAAAATGTGATTTCTCTGAATAGAAAATGTCATCAGCCTTTCATCCTGTCTTCTGAAATGAAATCCCACTCATCTTGTTGAAAGCTCCCCTATCCACCAGCCTTTATGCTGGCTCCAGTGTTAGGTAGTAGAGACAAGATTAGGGACTAAAATATAAGCAGCTCTAGGCTGAGCCACAAGGCAGGGGTATAATTTTGAAGTCAAGCTGCCTCTCACCTCTATGCCTTCACACGTGTTATCTTCCTTCCCATGGAAAGACCCCTCCAAGCCACCTGGGATGCTCACACTTCACTCTTTTCTTAAGGAAGAGCCTTTTCCAACTCCCCAAAGCAGTCTTAGCATTGCTTCTCTGTTCTGCTTGCCCTTGATACACACCTCTGTCAGAGCAAACATCAAACTGTGTTATGCCTGTTTGTTTACAAACTTGTCTTCTCCTACTAGACCAGGAGTTCTGTGGGAACAGAGTCCTTGGCACATTTTCTCTGAATTCCCAGAACCAAATCTGGTGTGTGGCTCCTACAGGATATTTGAAAAATTCTCACTGACTGAATAAATGGGTGGAATAAAGAATTAGTGAAAGTTGACCTGCTTCAGAGCAAAGCTATACCTCGTTTCTCTTTGACTGGGCTTGCCAGCAAATCACAGCATATTCCCCACCTCTCCTTCCTCTCTCCGCCATCTCTACTTCCTAAATCTTTTCTAGGTGGAATCAGGATAAGAATGTTGGACAGCTATGAATGATGAAAGGGTGAGGGGTTTACATGAAGGGGAATAGATGTCACTCTTTTCCTGGGACAAAGGTAGGGTGCGGTGATAGAGAAGCTTTTCTGATGGATGTACCCTGTGCACAGTGGCCTCTTGATCATGTTCCCATGAGCTGACGGGGGACTCAGCTCCTCACAGGTTTTGGAGCCTTCCTGAGTCAAGGCCCAGGGCATGGTGCACTGAAGACATCTGGGACCCCTCAGTAATTGTAACCTGGGGTCAAATTGGATGAGTCAAACTGAAAGTGATGTCTGGCCGGGACTGGTTTGGCTCAATGGATAGAGCGTCGGCTTGGGGACTGAAAGGTCCCAGGTTCAATTCTGGTCAAGGGCATGTACCTTGGTTGCGGGCATATCCCCAGTAGGGGGTGTGCAAGAGGCAGCTGATCGATGACTCTCTCTCATCAATGTTTCTAACTCTCTATCTCTCTCCCTTCCTCTCTGTAAAAAATCAATAATATATTTAAAAAAAAAAAAAAAAAGAAGAAGAAGAAAGTGATGTCTGAGTGTCCCCCATAGAAAGCTTGGGAACCCACCTGAAGAAGAACCACAAACACATCCCATTTCTGAGGTCAACTCCAGTTCCCCACCTCATCCCCCTCGTACTACCCACCTCTCACTCAAAGGAAATGGCTACCTGAAGGAGCCAAACACAAGAAGGGCAGTTGTACAACTTTGGCCTGATTACAGAAAGTGCACCCTGACTTCAGGAACCAGTAACTGTTCTGGGTGCCTGTGAGCACGGTCTGAGGTTGCCGTGGAGATCCTTCACTGCCCCTATGTGCAGAGCTACCGAGACCTCAGACCCCTTGCCAAAGTAAAAGTGCAGGCTGCATGCAACTTCTGTTGGTTTTTGCTCACCATCTCATGGTGGCCTGGTCCCACCATGACCAGGAGGAGCATTAGTCTGCTGGGGTTGCTCCAGCAGCCCGTCTGAGGAACTCGTCCCTGGTTTCATGCTGGGCCATGATGTTTGGGTCAGTGCTGTGCTCTTGACTCTTTATTGTCTGAGAATGATCCCTTTTCCCAGGAAGACTGTAAAATCCAATGTAGCCCCCAACCTACTCTAAGCACCCAGACTGGACTAGACCTGGGGATGGATCCAGTTTGGAAGATTTATTAGTATTTTTAGTGGAGGAGACACTGGCCTATAGTAGTACTGTTCTGGCTACTAGGCCAGAATCACAGATGTTACCTTCAAAAGCATTTGCTGCTTCTTCAGCCGTCTCCCATGCCTGCCAGTTAACCTCCCAACCAGGCTATGCCATCTCTTTGACATCAGTCATGTCTAATTCCCTCCATCCTGCCTAACTGCTTCTGCGGCAGTTCACCTCGCCTGCCCCTGCCTGCACAACTGCCTTGTCCCCTCTCTTCTCTCTCTGCCACCAGCCTTGCAGCCTAACTATTCATCCTCTTCTCTGATCCGGTTGTTTCCTGGTTGAAAGCCTTCCAGTGGCTCCTTGCTGCCTAAACATACTGTGCAGATCCGTAGTGCATGGCTCTTCATGATCTGCCTTCCCTGCCCTCCAATCTCTGTTCCCACAGCCCCCCACAGCATTGTGGGCTCTCACCCTTCAAATTAAAAACACCAAATGGTTACATGCTTCCCTGATGTGGTTCTTCTTGCAACCTTTGATTCAAATACAGCTTTCATACCTATCCACTGATCGCTTCTTTATTGTCACAGCCTCCATGAAGGCATTCTTACCTCCCTCACCCCTCCACAAACCCTTTACCTTTCCTCGTAGATATTACTATTTCTTTCCCTTGCCCTCTCTGTGACTTTAGCCACTTCTTTCACAATATCAGTAATGATTCCATATATTTGGCTCATACGTCCCTCTTGATCAAGGATATCAGCCTGGCATATAGTGCCAAGCTACATGGTAAGGTGCCTAATAAACATGCGTTGAGTAAATAAATGGGAAACTGGGCAATGCTCTTCTAAAGCCTGACGCTTTGGCTCTACATTTCAGGGATCATTTCATCAGGCCTAGGAACATCCCCACCCCTGCGGGCAACACTCAGGCCCATTGGACCCACCTCAGAGAGAACAGAGTCGGACAAAAAGGATCCAACAGCTTCCGCCTCAGGAGAAGATCTTGGTTAGTATGTCAGTCACATCCTCCTGGAGGCTAGCTACAAGATACTCAAGGATTTCAAATTAGGAAGGGAAGAGTCTCAGCTCTGGATCATCTTTGTTGCTTAACCTGATCATCAATATGATTCTTTTTAATTTTAACATAATACTTATTTTTAATGCTTCAGCATAGAATATGCTCCTTCCCTTCACAAACATAGAGGAAAATATCTAAATTTTTCAGAGAAGTCTTCCTGAGAAATATATATTACCCAGTGCTTCTTACTAAATCACATCATTATAATTACATATGCCTTATTTTATTAATAAGCATTAGCTTCTTAGTTGTAAACTTTAAGCTTTATTTATTACACTGTAGAATGCCTAAAGCAGGACACAATTAAAGACCTTTTTATTGCAGTTGATGTGAATAATAAAATAATGAAAATCAAAGTTGTGAATAACTGACTAGGAGGCATATTAAATATTTATAGTCTTTACTACTTTTTATTGTATTGTGAAGCTTTATCTTTTGCCAAAATTGTTTATTATACTCCCTTCTCAGGTGATACAACTGACTTTAGCTCAAGTCCAACAAGAGAAACTGATCCTCTTGGGAAACCCAGATTTGTAGGTATGTCTGGCTTCAAATCTTAATGTTGACAAGGCTGTTAGGTGGGTGTATTAGTCAGAAGTTGCTATGTAATAAACACCACAACATCTCAATGGCATACCATAAGGATTTACTTCTCATATGTTTACAAGTCAGCTTTATGATGATATTAACAAATGGGGGTCAGTTAATGTAGGATGTTCTTGGTTGAGTGGTTCTGCTGGGCCTCTTGTAGGTTGGGACGGGCTTCTCCTCATTTGTTCATTCTAGGATGAAGGACCAACAGTAACCCAAAAGAAGCCATTCTCAGGACTACACAAAGTCAAGGGAGGGGGAATCCAAATACACCATCATATTTTAAGCTCCTTCTTGTGTTATACCTGCCAATATCTATTGGCCAAAGAAAGTCACATAGCGATGCTCAAATCAAGAATTGCGAAGTATACTCCTTTCCTGGATATGGAGGATATTTTTGAACAGTAATCTTATCTAAGACAGGAGAGATGTAATATGATACAGAGCCCACTATTTCCTTTTGTAATATTTTGTCCTGAAGTATATAACTTGATAACTTTTTATATATGTATATACCATGAAGCCACCATCACAATCAAGACAATGAATACCACTTACAAAAGTTTATAATCCCTCTTACTCCTCCACCCAACCGCTAGTCCCTAGGTAACAGCAAATCTGCTATACTATAGGTTAGTATGTATGTTGTGGAATTTTATATCAATGTCTGAACTCTTTTTTTAAAGTCTTGTTTCTTTCACTCAGCATAATTATTTATCCATGTTGCTGCTTTTATTAATATCCCTTTTTATTACTGCCTAGTATTATATTGTATTCTATATAATAAAACCCTAATATGCAAACTAAACAAATGGAAGAATGACCAGCGGAATAACTGGTGGCTATCTATGATGCACACTGACCACCAGGGGGCAGACACTCACTCCAGAGGAAGGCGACCAATGGTGGTGATTGGGGGATGGGGCCAGCCAGCCAAGGAGGGTGCCAGCAAGCACCCTATAAACCCACCTGCCAATTGCCCCACAGATCTCCCCCATCACCAGCCAGGCCTGAGGACCCTACCCTATATATTGGGAAGAGTCTCTTAGATTTAAAAATTAAAACCTGGCAAGGCTACTCTAACACTGAAAAGAAACAGGATGATGCAGCGATGATGTGCATGGACAATGGCTTGTATATTTTGTGGTCAGCCCCAATTCTGACACTTATAACTGTGGAACAAAGCCAATTACTTAACTTCTCTCCTGCTTCAGTTTTCCACCCATAAGATGGGGGAAATGGTACTACTGCCTTGGAAGAATCATGTTTTGTATTACATTTTATAATCAAGGCCAAAAAAATGTAGCTGCCCATACAATAGCAAGATGCCTTTCACCTATATAAAAAGTATGGTCACTGGTACATGCAGTGTCCCAGATTGCAAGAGAGATGTCTGACTGCCCATTCAGGCCAGACATCCCCTGAGGGGTCCTGGATTAGGAGAGGATGCAGGCCAGGCTGAGAGACCCTTCTTCCCCCCCCCTCTCCCCCCCAATACAAGAATTTGGTGTACTGGGGCCTCTAGTAGATATATAATAATTTAATTAATCCTATTCATGGCATTTGGGTTATCTCTATTTTTTTTATATTACCATTAAAGCTTCTATGACCATTCATACGTTTGTGTAGACATATTTTTTCGTTCCTTTTTAATAAATTCCTAGAAGAGGAATGGCTAGATTATATGTACATATATATTTAATTTTTTAAGAAACTGCCAAACTGTTTGCCACAGTAGTTGTATTATTTTGCTCTTCTGTCAGCAGCATATGAAAGTTCCAGTTTCCACAGGTCTTTGCCAACCTTTGGTGTGGTCAGTCTTTTTCATTTCAGCCATTGCAATGGTTTGTAGTAGTATCTGATTGTAATTTCACTTTGCATACCCCTAATGACTAAGAATAACAAATATATTTCCATGTCTTTATCTTCTATCTATATCCAGTTGTTTATTTTCCTCCATTTCTTTTATTTGTGATCTGTTACTTTGTCTTTGCATTTTTGCTGCTTCCCTGAGTTGGTAGGGTAGCTTTGTGTGCTAGGTTTTCTATATGGCCCAGGGGGTCAGCCTCCCCAGTCACCTGAGGTGGACATTCTTGGTGCACCCCTTTGCGGTCTGTGTGTACAGCCTTGCTGTAGTTAAGTTTTATATATATATATATATATATATATATATATATATATATATATATATATTGATTTTTACAGAGAGGAAGAGAGAGGGACAAAGAGCTAGAAACATCGACTAGCTACCTCCTGCACACCCCCTACTGGGGATGTGCCCACAACCAATGTTCATGCCCTTGACCAGAATCAAACTTGGGACCTTTTAGTCCACAGGCTGACGCTCTATCCACTGAGCCAAACTGGTTTCACCTGTAGTTAAGTCTTGATTATTGTTGGCATCACTGGGAGGAATTGACCTCCAGGCTATTGGCTATGTGTATCAGCTGTGTCTACACTGGGAGACCTGTGCTGGAGACAGCCTTATAGGACAAGACTTGCAAAATTGCAAAAGCCTCTGTGCTCAGCTTGGATGGGGCAGAGTCTCAGGGCTGAGCAGACAGTCTTGGCTTCCTGTCAGCCCTGCCCTTGCGCACATGCCTCCAGACCTCTGCCTTCCGCGGCTCCCCTGAGTTTCCACCTGACAGTCCAGATCCCCCAGGCTCATCCAGAACTGGGGTTCAGTGCAGTTGGAACTGGGGTTTAGTGCAGTCAGGAGCTTCTGATTCCCTTCTGCTAGGGAGAGCTAGCAGCAACCTCAGCAGTCAGTCTTCTCTGAGCACACTCAGGCACGCATCTACAGACCCCTGCCCACCGCTGCTTTCCCGAGGACCTATGTGCTATGTGCCTTTCTCTTAACCCGACAGTCCAGACTCCCCCCCCCCCCCCCCCCCATATAAGCCTGGGTCCACAGTGTTTCATCTGAAGCTGGGTTCAGTGCAGTTGGGGGCTTCCCTTCCTCTCCTGCCAGAGAATGCCAGTCAGGCACTCAGCCACCCTTCCTCTCTATGCTCATGTCTCCATACCTCAGCCCTTTGCAGCTCCTCTGATTCTCCGTGTGCTTTCATCTTTCCTTCTAGTTGTAGAATTTCCACTCAGCCAGCTTTCCTGTGATTCTGGATGATGTCCATTTTATGTTTTAGTTGTAATCTTGAAATTGTTGTGCAAGGCTGCAGTTTAGGTGTTTACCTTTGACGCCATCTTGGTTTCTCTCACTTAGTCAAGTTTTTATAAATACATTGGTTTTTACATACAGAATCGTATTAACCGAGAGTAAAATTTTACTTCTTCCTTTCCATTTTGAGTAGCTGTTCTCTTGTCTCAATGCACAGGCTGGAGCTTCAGTAAAAATATTGAATAAATATAGTGAGAATGGACATCTTTTTCTTGTTTCTGATCTTATGGGGAAAACATTCATTCTTTCATCACTAGATATCATGTTACCTGTAGAGTTTTCATAAATGCCCTTTATTGGGTTGAGAACATTCCCTTTTATTTCTACTTTGATATGAAATTGATGTGGGTCTCTTATATCTTTCAGGTCTTAACTTTGACCATGTGGGTTATCCTGTACTAGAGGCCCAAGGCACAAAATTCATGCAAGAGTAGGCCTTCCTTCCCCCAGCTGCCGGCACCGGCTTCCCTCTGGCACCCGTGACCCAGGCTTCCCTCACAGCCCCAGCTTTGTCTGGAAGGTCATCTGAAAGGATGCCCAGTTTAATTAGCATATTATTATATTATTATAGATAATAAAAACCTAATATTCAAATAGACTGACCTGCGGAACTACCAGTCACTATGATGCACACTGACCACCAGGGGGCAGATGCTCAATGCAGGAGCTGCCCCCAGCCCTCAGGCCCCAGGCCAGCCAAGGCAGGTGCCAGCATGGGTCCCCCCAATTGCCCCACCAGTCACCCCACAGATCGGCCCTGATCTCTGGCCAGGCCTAGGGACCCTGCCTGTGCATGAATTTTGTGCACCGGGCCTCTAGTAGTAGTAATAACTGCTTTCTTGCTTTTGTCTAATGATTCTAGCACTTAGAAAGTTCTAGGTTGGTTTTTAAATGATTTATTTTTCTCTTCATTATGGGAGATATTTTCCTGTTAATTTCATCTTGTTGGTTTCTGGATATGTTTTTATTCTTAAAATATTTTTAATTTTTTCTGGGAGTAGGCAAATTATTTGAAACCACTTGATCTTTCTGAGCCTAGCTGTCATATTCATTAGGTGGGACTAGAATTGTGTCTAATGTAGGGCTTGTTATTGCCCACGACTGAGGCAAGACCCTTTTGAATATTTTTTCCCAGGCCCCATAAATTATGAGGTTTAAACCATGCTCAGGGGGGACAAATTACTTTTGGATATTAGCACACACTAAACTATCTAAGAAAGTAAATTAACAAACATCCGTATCATGTATCCTAGAGACAGGATTTTCACACTTCTGAACCATCCATATCACTGCTTCCTTCTAGCTGCTCTTAATGTGAGACAATTACAGTTATTAGTTCACCTTCCCCCAACTTTACTCAAAAAATGCTAAATGTCAGAGTCTTCTCTCCCTCTCTAGGGCCTCACGTGAAATACATTACAAAACCTGACGACAGGCCCTGCTCCATCACCGACTCCATCAAACGGTTCCCCAAAGAGGAGCCCACAGAGGGGAATGCCACCAGCCCGCCGCAGAACCCACCCTCCAACCTCACTGTGGTCACCGTGGAAGGATGCCCCTCATTTGTCATCTTGGACTGGGAAAAGCCACTCAATGACACTGTCACTGGTAAGAGCTAGAGAGGACTGTTACTAATGTGCTGCAGAGGGGCTGCGGAACCCTGCATCACATGATAGCCTGTGGGTCTGCGCTTGCTCAGGAGCAGCGAGTCCGCGCTCAGGAGCAGCGAGTCCGTGCCGAGTTCTGCTGTCCCTGTGGCACGTACATGTGATGGGAAAAGATCATCTTTGTCCTGGCTGTGGGCTCCCTGTTCATCATCCTTAGCCGATCTCTCTTAGTTGCATCCTTTCGTCTCCTCTTAGAACTCTTTCCTAACGGGGAGATTTATCTAGTTTTTTCATTACCCAGAAAATTACAGATAATACATGAGATGTTGCCACTGACCTATGATCATATTGAAATGAGTTTTCCTTTCACCAACCCAGTTTCTAGGTAAACCTAAAACTTTCAAGCAAGCTAAAATGTTGTTTCCATCATTTGAGGGTACATGTTTTAACAATTCTATTCCTGGTCAATTTTCTGCTTATCTCCTGAAACTTTTATTCTGCTATCCACCCACCTATTTCCTTCAAAAATCCCGAGTCATTCTTTGAACTTGTTAGATGAGAATTTAATTCTTCATAATTAACAGAATAATAAAACTGGAGAGGAGCGGAAAAGATCAGCTTGAGTGTACAGCCTGCGTGTGCAAGGTTCCTGCTGCCCATGTCCCTGTGTCCCTATTCGGGTGCCTGGGGCAGGTGGACAGGCCACGGGGAGCCTACTAAGAAATTGTCAGTAATAGAGATCCCTACACAGAGGGGTGGGGAGTGCACATTTCAGGCTCTGCCAAAAATGTTTCCTATGAATAAAGAATAACACAGCAGGTATATCTCCTCAGACAAACTGGGAAACTCCAGTGTAAGTAGCCTGTCTTGACTTTTTTTTAAATCATATTTTGTAAATTTTGTTTCTCATGCAAAGCTTACCTTCGTATTGAGAGCAAACCAGCCACTGCCCGTGGCTCCTGGGGACTTGCCTAGTCCTGCTTCTTTACTTGGGACTGTGCCCATTGGTGCTAAGTCAATATCTAAATCAGCATCAAAAAATAAATCAGTCTCTAAGTATTGATTATCTACAGGTATTAAGAAGTTCAAAGCTTTCAGTCCATATACTGTGCTAATAAGAAGTTCCTGTGGTAGTCTGAGGTTTAATTCTCACAAAACCAAATGACCTATAAAATTTAATTTGCCTTAAAGATGTGGGACATCAAGCTGGAAGTAATTAGTCTACTAGGCCTAATAATCTAATAGAACAATTTTCATCCAATGTGCACAACAATTTTAAAAACATGCAGTCAGGAGCACTGACCTCTTTCCCCCTAGATTGTCCAATTAAAAAATGACAACAGCTAACACAACAGTCATCCAGTGTGAAGGCCCTGTCTTGAACCATAAGTATATAGGTCATAATAAGAGTTTCATCTTATTGGTCACATCACATAATAAGAGTAGGTAATTAGCATTTTTTAATAAATTAAAATTGTACCTGTTTCTGTCAGATTGGTAAAGAAATATATATTTTTGGTGTGCTACAGAATTTTAGTAATTAGTTTATATGTGCCATCTGATAAATGTCAAAAATCACTACCTAATACATCTAATACATATTCACTTGTGTATATCAATTATATCTTGGTTATTTATTTTTATTTTTTTTAAATATATTTTTATTGATTTTTCACAGAGAGGAAGAGAGAGGGATAGAGAGCTAGAAACGTCGATGAGAGAGAATCATCGACCAGCTGCCTCTTGCACACCCCATACTGGGGATGTGCCCGCAACCAAGGTACATGCCCTTGACCGGAATCAAACCCGGGACCTTTTAGTCCGCAGACGGACGCTCTACCACTGAGCCAAACCGGTGCCGGCTATATCTTGGTTTTTTAAAGAGAATTATTTTTCTTTCTGGTTCATTATGTAACATTTTTTTTATAAATGATATAAGCTAATAATCTCAAAGTATTCTAACCAATTACTTTTGGAACACTATTACCAAATATTAATGGGCTGTTTGAAAACTTTCATAAGATAACAGACTTAAAAAACAGGTTTCATGGGTAACAGGTTTCATGAAACCTGTTAACTATAATATTTTCTCATTAACTATAATATTTTCTACATAAAAAATAATTTCATATTTAACCATTACTCATCTGGCCTGTATTTAAATGTTGGACAGATGGTATACCCTAATGGTCTGTTCTATTTTTTTTTCAATTCTGTTTATTTTTAAATTGTTAATTTAAATGCAATCTTGCTTTCAAACAAACCAGCAGTTCAGATCTTATAGAAATTAATTCTCCTATCACTTAAAATTATATGAAAGGAAAAGATTGAGAAAGAGAACAGAAAGAGAGTGAAACACATTCTTTATTACATGTGTTGGCTTCTGTCAATAATCTTTCTTTTAATTGACAGACACATGCATATTCACCTCTAGTAAATACATTCAAATTCAATTGCTTCTACATGTCCCTTCAACACTAATATAAAAATAGGTGACCTAAGAAGTTGGCCACACACTGCTGGGGTCCTTGGTAACTTAAGTTAGTTATAAGGTGTTGCTTTGTGATATGCCAAGAGTGTGCTGACATCCATTTAAATTCCAGACCAGCTGTGTTCTAAACATGGAACTTGGGTATATAGTTAGCCTCTTTGAACTTTAGCTTCCTTATTTGTAATGATACTCATCATTATCGGTTTATCCTGAGGATAAAATTAAACAGAATGAATGCCCAGCATAAGTTAGCAGCTGTTAAATTAATGTTTGTCAGTGGTCAAAGTAGTAAGACAGGGAGAAAGAGTATCACCATTACTGTTTTCATGCTCTATTGACTAGAGTGGTGTTCCCAAACTTTATAATAAATAACTTTTTCTACTTGGTACATTTTTTTCATAATAGGGCAATAAAACAATTTGAAGAGGGGAAAAAAGATCAATTATTCAGAGTTAGTTCTTTACAGATTTTCTTATGTTTTTATTAATAATGAAAGTATAAACAAAACCTCATATTTGAAAAGAAGAAATGTGGGCATAAATTTAAGAGACTGTCTTTACCTTTGGAAATATACTCAGAGTGTGTCTATAAATATTCATTCCAAAATTAACATTCCATTTTTATAATGTTGGTGGATTTATTAAAAGCTATTATCACATAAAATATTAAAAATAAAAGATATATTTACAAAGCCCAAAAATATACATTCAAAAAGCGAGAATTCTTAGAGTTCTATTTAATTATTATTATTTTTTTAATATATTTTATTGATTTTTTACAGAGAGGAAGGGAGAGAGATAGAGAGCTAGAAACATTGATGAGAGAGAAACATCCACCAGCTGCCTCTTGCACACCCCCTACCAGGGATGTGCCCGCAACCAATGTACATGCCCTTGACCAGAATCAAACCTGGGATCTTTCAGTCCGCAAACCGACGCTCTACCACTGAGCCAAACCGGCTTCAGCTCTATTTAATTATTAATGTAATTTCTAAATTCATTTTGAAAACTACAGACTTTTAGGACTAAAATAGTATTAAATCACTAGTGGCCTGGTGCACAAATTCATGCACATTGAAAGGAAATTAATTAAAAGAAATATTTTAATATCACAATTCACCCTTTCTTTGTACTAGAAGTGTCAGAGATTAAAGAAAATTAGTAACAGGTATATGAAAAATATAAATTGATTAATAAATAAACAATAACAACATGATATAACAACAACAAAGACATGATATAAAAAGAAAAACATAATATAAAAACAACATTGATGAAAACAATGATTGATAAATTGATTAAACTTATTCTTTTTTTAATATTGATTTTTTACAGAGAGGAAGGGAGAGAGATAGAGAGCTAGAAACGTCGATGAGAGAGAAACATCTATCAGCTGCCTCCTGCACACCCCCCACCGGAGATGTGCCCGCAACTAACGCACATGCCCTTGACCGGAATCAAACCTGAGACCTTTCAGTCCGCAGACCGATGCTCTACCACTGAGCCAAACCGGTTTCGGCTGATTAAACTTATTCTAACACTAAGGTCAGTGTCTGATGGGAACAAACCAATTCTTGGAATCAGAACAACTTCTCTTCTGCAGAACCTGTTAATACTTTGGCTTTAACTATGTTAGGTCACAATCTTTTTATAATAAATCTAGTACCATTACAAAGACCCCATTTATTATTAAGATTTCTCAGTAGCATGGTGATTGCACCTTCTTTCAATTCTAATTTATGACATGGCATTCCCAAAGGAATAATACTATTAAGAAATTTGATGAGAAAATTTTTCTTTCGGCATGACCCATTGAATTTTGTATTATTGTCAATTACACTGTTGTATCTGAGTCTTAATGCAAATCTATTCCCCATCCTTTTTTCCCCATGTGGAAAAAGAATAGGATATGTCATTGCATCTAATGTAGGAAACAGGATACTGATTTGTTTCATTTTAGTGGCATTCATATTATTGGGATCTAGTTTACAATGGATGAGGAAATCCCTTTCTAAAGGAGGTCCTCCATCTTCATTTCTGAATATGATGGCAACTTCAGTTACAGAGGGAGAATTATATCTACCCGGATCACTATTATGATCATATTTAATCGCTATTGTTACTTCTGTGTGATTCTGCTGCTTTTTTTTTCAGCATTAGAATGTCAACAAAAACAACCAAATTCACCATCAACAATGGCAGATCAAAACACACTCATGTGATTGGCATCAGTGAGAGCTTTAATGTATTGCTTATACACGAGTCAACCTAGCCTTTTATAGATATAGAATAAACTTGATTAATTAGACCTGCTTTCTGATATAGCTAAACTTTCTCCAGCCCATTGAAGCACCCCAACTTCTCTTTCAGATAATTGCCAGGGACACAGCAGTAACTATCAACATGAAGCACATTATTATTGTGCTTCACACAGGGAGGACAAAGGGTAAAATATTTACCTGCAGCAGTGTTTGACTATATTCTGCACAGTGAGAAAACCTGAAGACTTTTCAAGGTCCAACATTTCTTACTTCTTTTCAGTCGAGTCAAGTTTCTAAATTTCTGTTTTTTGGCTAATGAAAAGAAAATAGGATTCCATCAAGTCTCCTTTCTACCTACTTCAGATGAGGCAAGGGAAAACACTTCACAGACATTTGCTTAAAGTGTAAAATGTTTCCACCTGAGGCTAGTCATCGCTAGGAAGAGGAAGCCAGGTGTTGCTACTTGATATCATTACCCAGACGGTGGGACACTTGGCATATTAGCCTTTTATATAGATAGATCCCTTAAATTTTGAGTCAAAAGAAAATTATAGAAGATAAACAATAAGAGTTTCAGGTTTGAAGGGCTGGGGTAATATTAAAAGAGTAACATATATCGATAGTCAACGAATGTTCCAAACCAAAGATGTCTTTTGAAGGTAGTAGGTTTTATGCATAACCAGTTGGAATGTCATATAAATTGATCTTTTGGTAACTAAATTATACTTCAATCTTTTCAAATGAAATCTTTCAAATTTTTGTGACCCTATTTTCAAAACACAAGTAATATGGGATAATAAAAGCAGCAACAATAATAGGTTCCACATGTTGAGCAAATAAGCACTGGCTATATATGTTTCTAACTTAATTCCACAAGCAGCACTATGAAGAGACATTATTGACATTTTACAGACGGGAAAACTGGGACTAAGATCAAGGCAAGTGGCTTGGTCTGTCTCTCCCCATCAAGCAGTTTCCATTTTTAAAAATTCATGTTTACTCCCATCTAATTACTAGTACATGTTTCTAGTAAATATCCCTCCACAGCTGAGGAAAGACATTAAAAAGGGTTTATTGAATTCAGGGTCCTTCCCCTTTCTCCCTCTCTCTCCACCTTCTGTTAGAATAGAAAACCAACAGAACTGGGAACAAAAAGAGTTAGGAAACAACAAAACAAAATCCAAAATGCTTGGGAACAAGAGTCTGAGGAAAGAATACTAAACACCAACCATTGGTCCTGTAATAGTTGCACTGATGTGTCCAGACAGTGGCGTTGCCTTCCAGTTTACTATTGAACTTTTGGAAAGATAGCCAAAAGAAATTATTTATAGAGTCATGCCTCTTTTTAGAATTTTGAAATATAGCATGAAAATACCTCCCAAAAGAAAATTGGTGATTATAAGTCTCCTGAGTTACTTCGTGGTTTCCTACCTTCAATGTCAGTGCCAATACAAGAATCCTCAGGAACTTGCCAGCTCCTTCACAGTCTCCTGCTTTCCCCAACACCCACCACTTGTGTATTTCTTCATACCGATGGAGCTGATTTTGAGTGGGGTTTTGTTTCTTGTGTTTTTTGTTTGTTTGTTTGTTGGATATTTTTGTTGGATATTTTTAAATCCTCTGTATGATCTTTTCACATGTGTTATAAACCCAACCGAGAACAGGGAAAACCATTTAACAAGTTTGTAAATTGTATTTCAGATTCTGAAATTCTGTTTTCATTAGCCCTGCAAGCTCATAGAAATATGCCTTTAAGTGAAATTTATGTGGCTCTCTGTTCAGACTTTAAGGAATAGCTTCTTTTTACAAATACAAAGATAACTGTCAAAGGAGAATAGATGAGTAGTATGTACAAAACGTAATAACTTACATAAGATGTAGGTGCAAAATTCCCATTTATATATAGAAAAGCCTGAACGATCATATCACTGAATGACCAGAACCACTGGAATGACCAGTCGCTATGACGTGCACTGACCACCAGAAGGCAGATGCTCAATGCAGGATCTGCCCCCTGGTGGTCATTGCACTCCCACAGCCAGAATGCTGCTTAGCTGACCAACCCATCCCAGCGGCCTGCCAGACCTGCGGCAGCCACTCACTCCCTCAATAGTCCTGCAGATCCAATCTCTGAAGAACAGGCCAGGCACCAAAGACCAGAGTCGCCAGCACGATCCCAACAACGCCAATGGCCTCCTGGAAGTTGGCCTCGGGCCCCGCAAGGAAGAAAGGATATAAAAACTATTGCCAACCGAAACCGGTTTGGCTCAATGGATAGAGCATTGGCGTGGGGACTGAAAGGTCCCAGGTTCGATTCCGGTCAAGGGCATGTACCTTGGTTGCGGGCATATCCCCAGTAGGGGGTGTGCAAGAGGCAGCTGATCGATGACTCTCTCTCATTGATGTTTCTAACTCTCTATCTCTCTCCCTCTCTGTACAAAATCAATAAAATATATTAAAAAAAGAAAAAAAAAAAAAAAAAAAACTATTGCCAGGAGGCTCCCAACAATGGGTGTGAACATCAGTGGGATAGATTTAGATCCCAGCCTGGCAAGGGCATCCCACCACCCACTCGGGAGGCCAATCACATCCCGGCCTCCTCCACACCTCTCAGGACCTCACCTGTGCACGAATTTGTGCACTGGGCCTCTCTCTAGTAATTCTCTAAAACAAAATAATGAATGATAGGAAAGTATAGTTCATTGTTTGGTTAGCTGTCATTTGCTGCTATGGTTTGAGACCCAGCTGAGTTTTTGGCAGCAGCACCATGTAGTCAGTGGCCTTTTCAGGGCTCCTACACACACAACGACTCTCCAGCGCTCTCCAATGACAGGCTGACTTGCCTCACAAAATCATAGGTACCAGTTTCCAAAGCTACTGTAAGAGTGTCATTGATCTTCACAGTTGCCAGGCCTTCCCTGCTCTGCTAAAGGGAAAGCAGAAATGGTCCATGAGCAACTCCCCGAATGCTTTAGAGTCTTTGTCATCTGCTGACCATCCCAATCTGGAAATTGCAAACGTATAAGATGTATGCATACTATATCCATAATGTATAATGTCAACATGTAATGTATAAGATCAGATCTGCAATCTGAGTTGCTTATTTTTATTATGCTATTAGCATCTAGAACATTTAATTCAGACAGAAAATAAAGATGAGTATCTGTTGGCTTTTTTGCTCTACAGAATATGAAGTTATATCCAGAGAAAATGGGTCATTCAGTGGGAAGAACAAGTCCATTCAAATTACAAATCAAACCTTCTCCACAGTAGAAAATCTAAAGCCAAACACAAGGTAAGCCACCTGTGCTATTACAGGTGAATTCTGAGAGTGCAAAAGTCATCATCCCTCTGTGTCCTCAGGGAGGGTCTAATTTGCATTTCATTCTTTGGCTTTCACAGCACTTGATACCTTTAAAGTCATATTTTGCAAATATGTGAATTACTGGTGGGGATACAAGAGCTAACAAAATGGTCTTGTAAGCTAACATATAGCTGGAACCTTGAAAAATAGAAGTGCAGTAGTACCAGATGTTGATATTAAATACCTAAATTTAGAGAAGAAAGTCTGTGGACAAGTGATACTTGGAGCATGCATGAGATGAACTACATTTGAAGTAAGAAGAACTTAGCTGGCATGCTGGAAAGGGGAAGGCAAGGAAATAAAAGCCGTGAGGTAGATGCAAGGGGAAGTGTGTAATAGTTAATGCTTAAAGTAACTAGAGATGAGTCCCAGATATAGCAATCCTTTGCTTTCAGTTTGTTATTTTTTTATAATAGATGAGAAAAGATTTTTGAAAAAAGAAATAAATAATATTAGCATCATTGTATAATAAACAACTTTTCTTGATATCCTTCATTACACATTGACACCAGGTTGTTTAAATTGCTATGTAGTTTTGTGATTCTTTTATAAATCTAAATTACACAACATTTTGTCAGTTCATTTTATTATTATAAGAAATATAAAGGCCTTAGACATTTCTAGAAATGCAGTAAGGTTTTTGTTTTTTTAATGTATTTTTATTGATTTCAGAGAGAGGAATGGAGAGGGAGAGAGAGACAGAAACATCAATGATGAGAGAGAATCATTGTTCGGCTGCTTCTTGCATGCCCCCTACTGGGAATTGTGTCCAAAACACAGGCATGTGCCCTTACCGGGAATAAAACCCTGACCTCCTGGTTCACAGGTCAACAATCAACCACTGAGCCATGCCAGCTGGACTACAGTAAGGTTTTTTATGTTTTGTTTTACATGGCTGAATCACCAAATTTAGGCATGTCAAACAAATCAAAAATCGAGGAGATTATTAAGTGGATACAGCCAAGCATTTTTCTTAACAAAGCCAATATGCTAAATCGTCCTGGCTGAATTTTACTCTCTGTGGGAAATCAATCTCTCTTCAAACTCCAAAACACTGTTTGGTAAATTGTCTGTGCTTCAAGTTTAAAAAGAAAAGCAACTGGCCATCTTGAGTTGTAGTTCACCAAGGAACATAGAAAAATTTTCAGAGGAACATAATCAGAAATTTTTTCAGAGAGAATATTGCATCGCTCAGTGAAGTTTCTCTGTGTTGAAAAAGATCAGCATAGGTAAGGGCTGAAACTCCAGCATTGGAGACTTTGTTAATAAATTTCACCTCCTGTATCTTTCACTGTCATCAATGGGTTGGATGGAATTGGATACGGACTGTGACGATGCAAAAGAGCCCGTTTTGGCTCTGTCAGCAGGAAGCTTCTATTTCATTATAGATGGCTGCTGCATATTAAACTCTAGTCCAATTCTGCAAAAATAACACTTTTCCACAAGCATTTTTTTCTTTCAAATTTTCTATTTTGAGCTATAATATGGAAAATTTTGCAACTGCTGATGTTCTTAAAGGGTTTAAGTTAGCCAAAATAAGCATATATTTTAGAAATGATGAACTTGGTTCTGTTTTCTTAACAAGATTAACTGAGACAGAGCCTTTTTCACTATAATATATTTTCAAGAAAAAGTAAAAAAGAAAATTCATTTAAATTGGACTTTATAATAGTGGACTTGGGCTTACAGGACTTGGAAGGAATATCTCTTCAGTTTCCTGCTTTTTATTCCATTTAATAAAAAAAAAATGGGCTGTGTAATACACAGGAAATACATTGAAAAGCATCCAATTTCTAAATGTTCATTGTGTTCCTTTTCTTAATCAGGTTCTCCTCAGAACTCATAGTGCACCATTAGCTATAATCAGAAGTAGAATAGTTATTCCAGTGACAGTTTCTCTTTTTTTATAATTCTTTTTAATCCTCATCTGAAGATTTTTTTTTTAAGAGAAAGTGGAAGGGAGGGAGAGGGTAGAGAGAGAAACATCAATGTAAGAGTGACATATCCATTGATTGCCTCCCAGACAAGCCTGCAGGAGATCAAGCCTGCAACCCAGGTATGTGCCCTTGACTAGGAATTGAAGCCGTGACCCTTTGGTACATGGGCTGACACTCTACCACTTAGCAACACCTGTCAGGGCTCTACTGACATTTTCCATGTGATTTGTTTGTTAAGGATTTGTGTTTTCATTTATTAAGTACCAACCATATCTCAGCGGTGTGCTTAGTATTGTGACTACAAATCAATCAATGGTGCTGGAGGTTGGGGTAGGGCAGAGGGTAGGCAGTTAATAACAGATTATACTACACAGAGTGGTAAGAGCTCTGGTAGAAGTATGCCCAGCGTGCTATGGGAACCTGGAGTGGGTGGCACTTCACAAAGTCTAGGGCAGTGGTCAGCAAACTCATTAGTCAACAGAGCCAAATATCAACAGTATAATGATTGAAATTTCTTTTGAGAGCCAAATTTTTTAAACTTAAACTTCTTCTAATGCCACTTCTTCAAAATAGACTCACCCAGGCCATGGTATTTTGTGGAAGAGCCACACTCAAGGGCCCAATGAGCCGCATGTGGCTCATGAGCTGCGGTTTGCCAACCACTGGTCTAGGGAACTTAGGAAAATCTTCCTGAAAAAGGTGGCATCTGGCTGATCCTTAAAGATAAGTAGGAAGGCCTAGCGAGGTGACTGTCTCAGGGGAAAGGAATGTCAGAGAGAACAGCACTGTCAGTGCAGAAGCAAGCATGGCATGGTTGTGGGCAGTGAGTAATACGCCGTTTGACCAGTGTGAAAGGTGAAAAGTGGACTGAAGCAATGGCAGCAGAGAGAGGTGGCAGCTAGGTTGTGGAGAGCCTTCCATGTCAGATCAGGAAAATGGGTCAAGAGATGGGGAGAACTTGAAGGAGGGTAACTGGGAAGGGACTTGTTCTTTCGTTTTCATTTACATTTTGACTTTCACTTAGTTGGAAAAATCATTTTTATACTTGAGCTACTTATGAGTGATAGTTGGTGAAATAAACCTACCAGAAAAGAACATTCTGTTAATGTCACGTAAGAATACCATTTTGGCATCTTGCTCAAGAAAAGTACCTTTGGGCCAAGTTGCATTTTATTCTGGAATCACAGCACCAATCTGGAATTCACATCTAGCATCTGGTCTAACTGTTGTAGGGCTCGTGCTCATTATTTCTGTACTTTGCCTCAGAGTGAAATACAACCGTGTCCCCTTTATCCCACCCTCATGAAATGTGTCTTCCTTACGTCTCTTGTCCTTCATCAGTGGGTCTTCTAAGGAAGTCCTCTTAGAGCCTATTCTCATCCATAGACAAAGCCCTAAGGGAGCCCTTTCTGCATGTGTCTTTGGGGGAAAACAATACTACATTTAGTTTAGGAAGCCCTGCTGACTTTTACTACGAGGCATAAATTTGAAGCCATTCAAGTGTGTCTATATGTGGCTTACTCCATGTAATTATTAGAGATTGGTAAGATTGAATGAAGTCTATTAGGATATAAAGACTGTTGATGTTCATATATATGATTTCACCAGGATTATGTTGATGGTCCTTAATGGGTCTGGATTTAAAAGTGGTATATCAGTAATTTGAAGTAAAGAATGTTTTCCCATTGGGGGCAAATATAATGCCTGTGGGTGTAGAGGTGCTCTAAGGAAAATGGTTTTGTCTACAATACATGAAACTATGTGGTGTTCAATAGATCCCAGTACCCAAAGAGCCTGTGAATGCATCCCAGGCTCTCTTAACAAGGGCTTGCAAGAGATTGGTCTAATTTAATGAGCAAAGGTTTTGAGCTGAAATATTGAAAACTATTTGTTTGAAATCCATATTAGTTGAAGTAACTTAATAAGTTAAGGAAGAATAAGCTGAAGTCAAATTATTTCATTTTTAAGGTTTCAGAAGCCTAAAAGTACCTAGAGAAACAAAACTAACACCTATGAAGCAAGCATCATAAAACAGGATAAAAGTACATGCCAGGGTAGGACTTACACCAAATTCTGCAATTTATCAGGAGAAAAAAGCCTCATAGAGCACTTGAGACTATAACTTGGCAGTAGCAGATAGGAAGGAATGGGACAGGCTGGCAAGAAAAGAAGGAGCAACAATAGCATTCAAGTCAAATCCATAGGCATGACTTAGGTGAAATACAAGACAGGAAGGCTGGAGCCAGATTGGCTTTTTGATGCAAGCTTTTTCTCAGACTGTATCACATTGTAGTTTCATTCCATTGTATCTACTGCCCAACCATGGCCCAACATTAATGCTAATGAAAGATACATAAAATAAAAGAGGGAGTATGTACAGGATGCAGCCAGCAGGTGTGGTTTTTATTAGCTTATAAAGAATGACTTTGGTCACATTGCAATGCTTGGGAAAATTTTATAATCAAAATATATGGTAAAATTGAATTTCCAAAATAGGCAAACTCTGAAGTATAGCTGTTCCGAAATTCCCTATGTGAAAAGCTGAAGAAGATAACTTCTAAAAGAATTCCAATCTTGGGAGGCATGTGTAAATAATTTATTTTAATAGCATTTTCCATCATTGGTCTAAAACAAAACCAAACAAAAAATCTGAGCTCTAAAATAGGTGATAAGCCGAAACCGGTTTGGCTCAGCGGATGGAGCGTCGGCTTGTGGACTGAAGAGTCCCGGGTTTGATTCCAATCAAAGGCATGTACCTTGGTTGCGGGCACATCCCCGGTGAGGGGTGTGCAAGAGGCAGCTGATCGATGATTCTCTCTCACCGATGTTTCTAACTCTCTATCCCTCTCTCTTCTTCTTTGTGAAAGATCAATAAAATATTTTTTAAATAAATAATAAAATAAAATAGGTGATAATTACTGGATAATCTTTATGCACAGAGGAGGGTGGAGTAGAGAGTGAAGTTAGAACATTTAACACGCTTAGAACAAAGCA